CTAGGACTAAACAGCAGAACTCATTGCCGGGACTTTTTTAAGGAATTAAGAATATTGACTCTTCCTTCCTTATTTATATTTGAATCCGTTTGCCTAATACGTAAACATGTATCAGCTTCTCAAGAAAGGCCATCTCACACTTATCCACTCAGGAACGCGGAGCAAGATCTTTGTCTACCTACCCCACGCTCAGAGTTAGTTAAAAGTTCAATATTATACAACTCGAAAAAAATGCGCAATCACCTGCCATTTGAAATCAAATCCATAACATCATTTTTTTCATTTCGCAAAGCATTGAACTCTTATTTACTAGACAAGGCTTTCTACGCCGTAAATGAATTATATTTGAATTGAAAATCGAATTTGATCTTGAAAACACTGGTCTAATGTTTGCTATTGCTATATTTACTAATGACATCGAAATTAATTTATTTAGAGGTCATTGATATTTTGCTATAAACTGGCTAAATATTTTTGAATATTATTGAATTGAATTATGAAAAATGAAAATTTTTGTTCTTTGACATTGTAAACATTTATAAATGTTTATTTTAACAATAAGACTGACAATATTATTTATATAATGTTTTGTATTATCTTTTGTTTGTTTGTTTGTGTACCTTGTTTTTTTTTCTACTTTGTTTGTTAGTTTACCTTTGTCTACAAATTGAAAAATTTTTTGACAATAAAGGCATTTATTTATTTATTTATTTGTTTTATTTTAAAATGTATTTTACTTTCTGTCACTGGCGGTTTAACAGTGACTCGAATTGCTTATTTTTTGAAAGCATATCTTCTTTTTTGTCAAGTCGTGTCAACAGATATTAGTGGAGTGTCCGGAGACTTCTACCGCGGAATTCAATTACTGGCAATGTATTAATGTGAAACCTTCTGTATTGTGTTTTATAGATGAAATACTAAACTGTTTACCCATTTCTTTTCGTCGCTTTTAGTTTTTTATTTTAGTAATTCTTAGTTATTTCCTTCTTAATTTTTTGATTTTTTTATTTTTCTTTCTAAGTAAATTTATTGAAATAAATTAATCTAATGCATAAGCTATATTCATAAGCTATTCTGCCTATATTCTAATCATTGAAATTTTGATTGAAATCGAATTATACAGGGTGGCGCGTCATATACGACGCAGTTTTTGCAAGGAGAACAAAAGATTATATTGAAGTGAAATTTTGTGAGCTTATGTAAGTCAATTTAAAGGATTTTCTAAAATTATATAGAGTTCTACAGGGTGTCTCCAAAAAAAGTTACACATTAAATTTGTGTTTTTTGTTTTTGTAATGAAACACCCTATATATTAATTGATTTTCGGATTCTAGTAAAAAAATAAAGGCGATTTTCATTAGAAAAGTATATAACTAAAATGTATAGTTTTTGAAATACATTCACCGGTACGAAAAATGGGCACCTTAAAACTTTGAGATATTTTAAAGTTCAATATATTTTGCTTAAGTGGGCCGATTTTGATGACTTTTTAAGCAGTATGTAGCCAAATTATCTGACTTTTTAGTATCTCTTTCTAAATTAAAAACGAATCTCCCCATCTGTTAATTATACGAGGGAAAACAAAATGTTGATATTTTGGTGAAAGTTTGAAATACCCTGTGGAATATGTTAAAACAGCAAAAAATTTAAAAATCAATTTATCGTCTAGATACATCCTTTCTCGATAGTTTGATTTTTGGTTCCTCTCATTAGCTTTATTTTTGTTGGAAATATTCGCTTTTGAAGAAGACACTAACATTTTTTCGTAATTTTTACATTAAAACAATGCCTTTGTTTTTAGTCCTAATCAACAGATCTAGTAAGTTCTGGTCCCGAAGCAGCAGTGGCGGACTAGGGTGGGGGGCGGAAGGGGCGGTCCGCCCCGGGCCCCGTCTTTTAAGGGGCCTCCAAATCTCAATAAGTAATTTTTTATTCAACGGGCAAACAAGACCAATATGTGTTCAGTAGTTATGAAGCAATTTGTAGGTGGTGGTTATGCGTAAACCATACGAATACGCAAACTATAAACAATATAAATAGAAGCAGATATTTACTTAATTATCAATTATCAGGCCCCAGTAATTCCCAAGTTTTTTTTTTGTCCAAAAATTATAAATATTTTTTTTTCCTCAAAAACAGTTAACGTTAGGTATAGAGTGTTTGATATCAAAATTCATAAAATTTTCTTCTCATAAAATTCAGAGAATTTTAGTATGTAAAAAAATGAGGGCACCCGTTTAAAGTAAGAAAGTTGTTGTCAACTTCCGGTACTTCCGGAAGTGCCGCCATATTGAAAATGTTTTTAATCGATAGATCTCGTTGTGAAACAATGATGTGCAAAAAATCTCCGATCTAGATATTATAGTTCTCTAGAAACTTCTAATGCACGCTCAGCCTGGGACACCCTGTATAAATACTTGAATTTTGTCAACCATTATACATACGTCATTCCATCTTTACAAAATGTGCATTAGAAGTATATCATTATTTAAACAAACCGAGGGCCACATTTAGCTTCGCCGCCCTGGGCCCCCGACATGCTTAGTCCACCACTGCGAAGCAGACCTTCTTGACATAAGATTTGCTTCATTTGATCTTCTTCGACGGTTTCTTAGCTATAAACTTACAATCAGTCGATCGTCTCGATAGAAGTTCTCATACGAAGGTTCCTGGACGCCTAGATTGACGTCCTCATTCATAAACGTGGTCATAATTCAAAAACCTTTATAGCAAATTCACAAATATAAAGCATTTCGTTTGAAAAACTAAAACTGAAGTGTAAAAATATATTTGATTCACCCTGTGTATCTATAAAAATATTTGTGAAATGTGAACTACCATTAAACACATATTTTGTAAAAGGTTTGGAGTGAACATCTCAAATAGGAATCCTGATACAGAACTTTTTCGGAACACGGAGCCATCTTGTATGTATGCATTTGTATAATATGTGTGTTTATTTAAATACTAAAGTGAAAGCAACGAATTTAAATGGATAAACTTTGTAATATACTTATTAACAATACAATGCAAAAAGTTTTATAAAAATTCGTTCACAGTAAATTAATTCCGAGGTTGGTATCCCATAAGGGCTTAAAGTAGCGATGGGAACTATCGAATGAATTAGACTATCGAATGGTTAATGAATGAATGATTTCAACTATCGAATGGTTTTATTCGAATAAAATCATTCATTCATTTGTATACTAAAGCATATGTGACAACCTCGCCGTGCGACCAAATGGTTATCGTTGCGCCACGACTATCGAATGCTTTTGTTAAATGAAAAATGAAATTTAGTATTCGTTTGATTTTTGTATGCGTCAGTGCATTATTAGTTCTTCCAAATTTTTATAACTTCGCCGTATAAATACTGTGCTATTTTTGCGTTTATTAAAATAGTTAAAATACTAAAATAGTAGTTATTTTTTAATTTTATTTATTGACGATTGTGTACATGTGCAGGTGGTCAAAATTTTTCCGAAAATAAACCAACGTTGCCACACAAAAAATTTAGAGACTATATTATTTTTAAATAGGATCTAATATAAATAATTTGGACTTCTAATTTGTTGTTTATATTTTGCTACTACTTAAAAAAATGTTTATATTAAATGATTTTAAATTTTGGTGTTAATAGGTATAACAAATTATTACTGTTATTATTTATTAAACCAGTTTTGCTTTTTTAAAAACATTAAAAAAAGTATTTTCCTACATCCAAAATAAAGAGGCTTATTGCAGTGTAACAACAGAATATTAATAAAAAAATGCAAAATATATAGTCATACTATCCCTAACTAATTATAATACCAAAGAATAATATTCTTTGCTAATACCAATTTCAATAAAAAAAACAACAATGTGCCTTTATCTATATCTGACTCCGCAAAAAATCAAAGATGCCGGCTTCTTTCATAGCATTGCCACCCACCGCTGTCGGGTTTCTCGGAAAAAACCTACGTCGCCGGGCGACAACTAAAATTCAGTTAATATTTTATTATAATCGATCCTGACGAATAAATGAATTTCATAAATGAATGAATTTTATAAATGAATGGTTTTTGCTGCCGAATTACTAGAATACAATATTTCAAGGCAGATGACGGATCTATTCGATAATTTTTATTCGAATAGTTTTCAACGAATGTTTTCTTACTATCGAATTATTCGAATGAATTGCAACTATCGAATGTTTCGATAGTATTCATTCGATAGTTCCCACTACTAGCTTAAAGCACTCCACTATATTGTCAAGACAGAATACATCGTTCCTTAGATTATTATTTTTATTATCGTAGAGTTTATTTATTAGAAAATAAATAAATTAATAAGTTAAATACATACATTATATTAACAATTTTATGTTATAATAACAGATAATTTTAATAAGACTTTCAGCTTTAATTAAATGAAAATAAATTACTTTTTTAACATATATGTTATAAGTATCTTATCTCTTCTTCTAGAGTACTAATGGCATTTATTAATATAAGGGTTCATATATTGTTGTTAAATCTTAAAGTTACAAATAATATTACTTCAATATACAGGATGTCCGAATATTCCGTGGACGTAGAACTACTACGTATTTTTGAACAGGAAGGGTGAAAACTACCCCCACCCCTACATACATTTTAGTATAAATATTTTCCAACTCAACCGATGACTGATTTTTTTTTAGTAAAACGGTCCTTTTAGTATTTCCTACATTTTTTGTCTCTTGTAAAAAAAACGCCACCGCGCATGCTTTTTGAGGAAAAAAAATATTTTTCCGAATCTGACTTCCAAAAAATTATTTTTATCACATCAAGCTTTGGAGACGCATACAATCTATTATATTCTTAATAATCTAGTTGGCGAAGATATGGAATTTTATGTTAGTATCACAAATTATATTTGACAATAAGCTTGATAAAAAGCTTAAAAAAATAATAAATTTTAAATAAATTAACGTTCCATTGAGTAGGTCTGCTTTGGAAAAATAAATTCTCCAAAAGTTTTTTTCTCAAAAACTACGCGTGTGGCGTTTTTTTTTTTTTTGATAGAGACAAAAAATGTCGTAAATACTAGAGGGATTATTTGACAAAAAGAAAATCTGTTGTATGTATATAGAGTTGGAAAATATTTATACTAAAATTTATGTAGGGGGAGGGTAGTTTTCACCCTTCTCGTAATTGTTCTTGATATTTGTGAAAGTCAAATGTTAAGGTGCATCTAGACTGGAGCATTTTAGCCCGAACGAACAGAACGCGCAGAGCAGAATTCGCTAAGTCTGCACGCCGAATTCGGCTCGGGGACAGGTCCAGACTTCGGCTCTGCGCGTTCGGTTCGTTCTGTTCGTTCGGGCTAAAATGCTCAAGTCTGGACGCACCTTTAAAGCACTTAGCAAAACATAGACACCCAAAATCTCATTCAAATCGGAATAACGGTTTTTAAATTATCTGAAAAAATGAGTTTATTTTATTTTTTTGTTTTAAATTTTGATGCCCTCTAGCGGACAAACGATGCACTTTGGTAGGTAGAGGTAAATTGTGCCCAATGAACTTATTTTGATTCCAAAAATACGTAGTAGTTCTATGTCGGAATATTGTGACACGCTGTATTTCTATTAAACAAGACCCAGTATGTTTTCTACCAATAATCTAAGTCTTCATTTAATGATGGAGTTTTTTCCAAAACTCGTTGAGGTTTTATATCATCGTGTTGGTTACGATCCTTTTTTGTATCCGACGGTTTATCAAAAATGTCCCCTCCATCTTGTTTATTGTTAAGTGAATTTTTTGCAGTTTTGTCCTCTTGATCTAAAAATAAAGCATGCTTTTAAAATTACTATAAGTACATACATATTTAAATTTATAAGAATAATTCATTCTAATAAATAACAACACTGGAAATAGTAGAAGAATATTATATTTGGGACAACTAATACACACACAGCTCTGGATCTCTACAACCTGAAATCAACAGAAGAATTAAGTTAGCATGGAATACTTATGGAAGAAACTCAATCATATTCCAATCTAGAATGCCACTCTATCTAAAGAAGAAAATTACTAACACTTTCTATCAATGTGTACTACCAGTCATGACCTATGCATGCGAAACCTGGACACTTAAAAAGGATATCATAAGGAAACTGCATGTCACACAACGCTCAATGGGACGAAATATGCTGAGTATAACCAAGAGAGACCTTAAAGAATAGAGTGGATACGACAAAAGATACAGGTTATAGATGTAATCTACAGAATCAAATCCCTCAAATGACAATGGGCACGACACCTGGCAAGAAGGACGAACAACAGATGGACCACAAAAATTACAGCGTGGTACCCAAGAGGAATTGAGAGACCTAGAAGAAGACCGAACCTGGGATGGGACCGTGATATTAGGAAATTAGCAGGGATAACTTGGGCCCGCATAGCCAACAACAACATAGACAACAATGGGCCCAACTACAAACACAGTATATAAATGTGTGAGGGAAGCTACACCATAATTGGAAATGGTTGATAAGCTGAAAATGATGATGATAATATTTAATTTTAAATAAAAGACACAATTTTGGTTAAAGATAAAATTTAGTTATTAAATATATAACTTTGTAAGGGAACTTTGTAAGGGAACTCCTCTTTGTAAAGACAGAATACGTAAGGACTCTTCCAGTTCAGTTTTAAAGTTTTTATCTTACTGTCTTAATAACTTACCAAGAGATTCGTCAGATCCTTCGACATCCTCGTGTTGAGCCTCCCTAGAATTAGTATATTCATCATTAATAACACCCCAATCTTCTTTTATCATGTCAGCCGCTTTTTCTGCCACCATTATAACTGGAGCGTTGGTATTTCCGGTTGGAATATACGGCATTATGCTGCAGTCTACGACTCGTAAATTCTTCACACCTGGTATATAGTTATTGTATTAACATTGAGAAATAGTACCATACGATCAAAAAAAGGCCTCAAGACGGCTGGGGAATGACAATCAATGATTATTTTGGCGAGATAAATCCCTAGATATCATTACTTGGCCCGCACTCTTTATTTTTTAAGAGTCTATTACGCTGTACCGTGGCTAATGTCATATTCAAGGCCTGACTGTTTTGACAGTTCTACCGAAGTGGTCCAGAATTAGTAGTAACCGTAAACAAACCAATTGTTTTCATTAGTTTCGCAACAAATCTGTGTTTTTTACGCGTTTCTATGCTAATAAAATTATACTAAATAATTTTGAGTGAATAGTGAACTATCTAGATCCGATTCATAACATCGTACCCGCGAAAAAAACCATACTTTCGGTAAAAATTATAGTAACACCGGCGATGCCGGCTGTGTGTCGGGGCTAGGAAAAAGTTGGGGAATTTATATAAAAACATAATTAATAGCGTTAGTGTTAGTATATAGTGTTAAACCAACGTAAATGACGTGTATTTTTATGTAAAACAGTTTTCGTTTCTTTATTTTTACTTTGTGAAATAAAAAATTCCGCGACATTGTTCTGTGCCTGTGCCTTGTAGCAGCAATTATAATAAGTCCTCAGGATCTGTCTACATTCTCTTTCCCAACAATATTAACTGTAACTAGGTCACGTCCAAAACCTACAGAACATGCTGTGCCTACAATTTTTCCAAATCAACCCTCTTATGGACCCTCTGTGCATGTTCCCATAAAGAGAAAACGTCCCGATGAAAGAAAACAAGATTTGGAAATTCAGGATGAAATAGAGATTGAAAAGTATTATTATTATGAAATGGCAATATATTTTAAAGAAATTAAATGAATTTGTACTTTATTTCAGTATTTTATATAAAAAAAATGATATCTTGGAAAATTTATTATTCTTGAACCTTGTAATTAAATATTCTGTTTTTTTTTTAATTTTCTTGGGATTTAGGTTCGGGAAAACTCTGATTAAGTTTTCATTTGGGTTTTCATATTTTTATTTCATTTTTAAAGGAAATAACCAAACGTTTCGGCCAACATTACAGCCTTCATCAGTGTAGCTAGTGTCAAAATCAAAAAAACACAGTGCCGAACATAATCCAAAAATTACATAGAACAAATTCACAAGCACACACAGCATAATGTTTACTATAATTAATAAAACTAATATCAACTTGTCAGAGGATGGCTACATATTTTTTTTTAAATGATTATTCGTAAGACCAAAACGATCCACGTATGTATATTGACTCAAAAATGATATCTTTATCTTTTTATTTACGATTTATGGAGATGGTTACTTGATGAACATCAAACTACAAATTACTTAATGTTAATAGTTAATTCTATCTGATATCCACATTTTTTAAACATGTTAGGCAAATTTTTACAATTATTTTTAATTAAACTTTAAAATGTATTCTGCCGTTATCATATACAATACATTTTCTTAACTTGTCGATAAACATATAGTTTTCAAATTTTTTAATATTTGGAAACTTTTTATCACAGGTATATTATTACTAGTTGCTAAATACTCGCTAAGGCAATTTTAGGACACGCTTTTTATTATCTAGATTTTATTTTGTTCATCTTATGCTGTAGTTTATTTTATATTAATATTCGTGCTTTAGATCTAAATTTTAATGCTATTCAATTACTTTAACGCGATAAAAAGTTAATGTTATTTTTTAATACCTTTCTGTATAATATTTTTCATATTTATATCTGGCAAAACTATCAATAAATACTATTATTTATGCAAAACCTATATGCAGTACCATATGGCACAATACAAAAGCCGGACTAGTGCGGTGACGTCACAAATCGATGTCTCTGGCCTGTCTGTCATGTTGGTCATGGCTGTACTGTTCGGGTTGCTCTCAGGGGTCGGGTAAAGCGGGTATGTGGCCGACGGAAATATATATTATATTTCAGAAATTTGCCTAAGGCTTGGCCCGATCCTGTCGTGTTAAGCCACACCCAAAATTCCAAACACACGTGCTTTGATTAAGGTTTGCAGAGCTTCAGCATTTGCCATAAAATAGCGAACAATTTGTTACAAAACCATATAAATTATATATCACTGTAATCAAAAAACTTCATTGTATTTCCGTATGGTAACGGAATTTTAAATTATGTCTTTATTTTCGAGAACATTTAGTCCAAACATAAGCAATATTTTGTTAATGTTTGACCATCAAAAAACGGCAAAAAAAAAATGTGCTACAATACAGATATAGTATAATCCTTTATCTTTAATTTCCTTCTTCATTTGTGTAAAAATACCTATCCACTTTTACATAAAACGTTAAATGCCGAACGCTTATTTTGGTACTTTTTCGGACTAGTGAAATGGACTGTTAATGGCGCTGACTGGCAGCTGGCCTAAAGAAGGTTGTAATTTATTTTTATTTTGAGTAAAATAGTTATTTATGGTACGTGTGTCATTTATGAAGTGTGTTATCTTACATATATAAGTCACGCTGGGAAATGTTTGCTAATTTTCTCAAGTGACTTATATGTTATAACACGCGAGTGCCATACAAAATTTTATCCAACAGCAGAACTGTTTCATGTCCAATCTCTAAAGAATAATTGATTTAAAAGGATCTACCAGTTCTACTTTCATTGTTGCGAATTAACAAATTATGAGGGTGCGTTTATGTTACTATGCAAATAGATGCGCCTTTTTTTGTAAATAATTAACATTTAGATTAATAACATTTAGATAAATCTCGATTTTTTAACGATAAAATAGTGAATTATCAACCAGCAAGTTAGATTTTCAAGAAAAATGATTCAGGAAGATCTTCCGCAAGTACTTGGGCCTACAACATCCTGAGCAATACACTGGCCATTGTATCAGAATATCATCCGCTACATTACTGGCAAATGCAGGAGTAAACATGACAACGTTAAAAAGACACGGAGGATGGCGATCTGCAACGGTTGCGGAAGGATATATCGAAGAGTCCATCAACAATAAAATAGATATTGCGAAAAAGATTCATGGTGCTGTAAGTGTTCCACAACAAGCCGTTGTAATGACAGAGCCTATTTCAAGCAGTGGAGGGACAGCATCTGGAGGCATACAAGATTTTACAATTTCTGAATCTGTAAAAAAATTTCATTTTCATTTAATGTTAATGTTAATTTACATAAATAATTGAACTATATAATTTCTATAAAATGGTGTGGCTTTGAAGTTATAACACATTAGTTTGTTATAACTCACGCGTGTGTTATTATTTATTTTATATGCATGTATACATGTGAATAATGTCTGTATAAGTAGTGACTGTTGGATAATTGATTTTTATATGACGTGGTTTAAAATTGAAGAAAAAAATATTTTTGGAAATAGATTTGTGCGTCTGGAAACGTTCTATCCTTTTTTAATCTTTCTACAATTATTAGTGTTAATCATTTGACAAGTTTTGTTAATTTTTAGCAAATGACATCTAGAGATTGTCAAAATTATCGTCGATTGTCATTCCCCCGCCATCTTAGACACCTTTTTTTCGATCATACAGTAGTTGAATTGGAAACGACTCAGGGTTTATTGTAGATTTTTTTCTATAACTTTTTAGAATTATGCTCAAATACTCTTTATAAAGCAGTAGGAAATGTTATCTCGTGAGTAACAACAATAATAATTTTTACGTTTCAAAGTTTTTAGTCAATTTTGGGTTTAGTAGTATTTAGGATTTTTTTGGTAGTATTTTAGGGTTTAGTAATATTATCTTATAGTGACTTAAGTCCCCCCAAAATACTTGAGCCCCCCTAAAAGTCTGTGTCTAGTTTCGGCACTGCCGATGTACCTCTGACTCTTAATCTTGGATCAACAACAGCCATTTTATCATCGTCAGGACCCATTTTGGCCGTGCCAACTGGATGGTAAATTGTCATTGTATAATGGTATGCTAAACAGGTCCAATATTCATCCGATAGAATGTCTAATTCGTGACAACCAGGTATTTTTAAAGGGTTGAATCTTGCTTTATATTTCTGCATTGTGGGAGTTTCTGTTACTATTTTGTGACCTAGTTTTGCACCTTCCACCTAAAAAAATGACGGAAATTTCTTTGTATTATTCTTTTAAATTGTGAACAGATTTTGTTACAGTTAAAATATTCTGGTTCTTTTAACGATATTAAATTCGAATTCAGTCATGTATGAATTTAAATTAGCTCTATAAGCCTAATATAGTTTTGAAAGAGCATTTAAATCTGCTTCTACTTATTTTAAAAAATATAGAGTGTTACATTTAAAATAACGAAGTCTTTATGTAAAATAAATATTTAAAATAGACCAGCAATTTTTGCTACCCCTGTATACATTTAAGGAAGCAATCAAATTTTTTAGTAAAGTTTATTTCTCTACCTTTAAGCTCAGCACAAGAATTAATTTTGAAAAGTAATGTACAGGGTGTTCATAATTTTTTCTGTTATAGCATGCATATTTAAATATGTTTAAATATCTCAAAAACCAAAGCTTGTAAACATATTTAACCCTTATAATAAATGCCTTTTTTAGGTCTAATAATCCAAAAATGAAATAAAATACCGTGTGTCCCATAAAAAAATATAACTTTGGTATGGGTCTTAGTTCTGAACACCCTGTATATTTCAGAATAATTTTAAATTATGCACATTGCCTTCCCACATATGTATATTCACAAAAAATATTGTTTCTACATCTTTCCTTTCAGAATGAGGTGTGACACCCTGTATTTGTTCAGATTAAAGGATATGCCAGACTGTTTAACTTACCAACACTTTAACATCTTCCGGATCATCAAAATAATTTGGATATATTAGTATTTTGGAACTTGGATTCTTGTCCTTTAAAAGTAAGCGACCTCGTGATTTTGGTCTCATCAGGAGTGTTATGACCTAAAACATTTATTGATATAATTAGGAAGCGACAACACTGTAACACCGATAATAAATTTTAGGTGGATGGAACAGGTGCCTTTATGTATCTAATCTAAATTTTCCAAAAAATATCCGACTTTCCAAAAACGTCTAACCTAACTGTATTAAACTTTGCAGCACATGAAAATTTAAGTGCCGGTCATTGTAGATATTTGATAAAAAAATAAGTTTGATTTTCATATTTTTTCAATGAATATTTCACAACATGTTTACTTAAAAGCTTAAAACTTAAAAATATAATTTAATATTTATTTATTTATTATGAGTTATGAATAAATTATTAAGCTTCATTCACATGGGCGCCGGACAGGGGGGGGCAAGAGGGGGCATTTGCTCCCCCCTGGATCACCTAAACAATAAAAATAAAAGCTATCTTCCTACATCCATCTGTAAAAAAAATAATCATTATTATGAAATTGTTAGTTGTTACCTGTAAAATAATAAAAAATGTGGTAATTGTTGGGAAAACTGGAAATCGTCCGATTTTCACCAAAATTGGTATACACACTATTTTGAGGTCGTAGATTACGAATCTATTTTTTTCTTGGCGGTCTCTTACCGTTTTTCAGAAAAACGGAAAATTATTTCAACATTGAATTTTTCTTTATTTCGGCCCTATAAAGTAATAATTTCACTATATTTTCATTATATTATAGTTTATCTAAAAGCCACACTTGATTGGGGATAGAAAAGTGTCCAACATTTTACTGAAAAACACTTTTCTTAACAAAATAGCAAAGAAAATTGAGACCAGATGGAAGTTTGACATTTGATATATCCTTCTTTCTCTCTCCTATGTAATAAGAGAGACAAATTTATTCTAGACCTAATCTAGAAATTTGAAAATTTACAACGTTGCCATATCTTCTATTTTTTCGGGTGATTACGGAATTTAAATAAATTACCTATTATGAGATCAACAATAATTAAATATACACCAATATCCACAAAATTACGCGGAAAAGTTTTGATTGCATTGGTTTTAACTTCTTTGCGGAGGAGGTTAATCTTTTCTTAGTTAATCTAATAATATAACAACAAAAGATTAACACCCTCTGCATGGAAGTTGTAACCAATGCAATCAAAACTTTTTCGTGCAACTTCGTGGGTATAAATAGTCAGATCTCGTTGGTAAAATAGCAGTTATGGGAAGGAGCCGTTCTTCTGGCGACCGCCTTTCGTAATTCCAGAATGAGCGAAAAAAACACGCTAAATTTAGGTTTAACATTGGCAACGTTGCTTTAAATGCCAGAAAGACATAAACTTACTTCGGGTTTCTCTTATTACCGATTCTGAACCGTCCTAGAACTGTGATGTGTATGCGCAGAAGGAAATATGAAGACATTACTTCATTTGCGCATGCGCTGCAGAGTTCTTGGACGGTTCAGAATCGGTAATAACAAGAACCCGAACAAAGCCATAATCTAACATTTTCAGATTGTTTACAAATTTATTTTAACAAATTTTCCTCTATTATGCATAGAATTGGTTAAAAAAGTAACAGAAAAGAGCAAAAACATTATTGATTATTGAATACCTAACAAAATATGTGCTAGAAAACCTTAAACATATGAGAAATTAAGAAAAATTCGATATTGAAATTATTTTCCGTTTTTCTGAAAAACGGTAAGAGACCGCCAAGAAAAAAGTTCAGATTCGTAATCTACGACTTCAAAATAGGGTGTATACCAATTTTGGTGAAAATCGGACGATTTCCAGTTTTCACAATAATTACCAAAAATGTCAATTTTTTATTCATTTTTACCTTGCCCCCCCCCTAAATTTCATTCTTCCGGCGCCCATGTTCATTCAGAACCTTGCAATTAGTGGAATAAATTAGTGGTTTCAATACTACCTACACTTTATACTTTTTAGTTTGCGATCATTCACAATGTCTAAAAAACATAATTAAAATTCATAGAATATACTAGTAGAGTAAACGCCACGAATGTTTGGGAGTGATTGATCGGTCGCTACCATGTGAACTAATCTGTTCAAGGTCACATAAAACTTAATTCCAGTGCCGTGGTGTTTCAAGTCATATAATAATCAATATATAATCTGTTGTAATTTGTTGTTTTAACTGTCAAAGTCTTGTCAAAACATATATTTGGTTATAAATATAAACTGGAATGCCCCATTGGTCGTACTGCAAGCACACCAATGGACTGACGCACAAAAACGAATCAATCAAAGAAACGCGATGTAGTATCGTCTTTGTCAATCACGCTAACATTTTAGAATAAGTAGGAGGAGCGCAGGGAGATGATTAGATCGGGCCTTTAAGAACCTACGTCTGCGGTAAAAATTTACGTTTTTAATGTAAAAATGATAGCGCGCGTGTCGATTCTAACTTCATTAAGTGATGAATCACTCCCAAACATTCGTGGCGTTTACTATAACAGCTTGCGGTAGTCAGTTGTATCCATAGAGAAAGCCTATAATATTTAGCTTACAAAACAATAAACTTTTGATTTCTAACCACAATTTCTCTTGACGGATGATAATCAAATGTCAAAATGACATTTCTCGCAAATTTTGAAATACAATTAGTGGAAAAGTCAAAAGTTTATTAACTTTTTCTACTAATTGAAAATGACTAGCACTAATTTAAACGTTCTGAATGCTTACATTGAAATTAAAGGAACAAACTTCTACGCTAATTGAAGCCACTAATTGCAAGCTTCTGAAAAGGTTCTAAAGCTTCATTCAGAACCTCGCAATTAGTGGAATTAATTAGTAGTTTCAATTAGCGTTGAAGTTTGTTCCTCTAATTTGAATGTAAGCATTCAGAAAGCCAAAATTAGTGGTTTCCAAACTTTTAACTTTTCCACTAATTATACTTCAAAATTTGCGAGGAATGTCATTCTGGCCTTTGATTGTTATCCGGCAGGGGAAAATGTGGTTAGAAATCAAAAGTTTATTGTTTTATAAGCTAAATATTCGGCTTTCTCTATGGATACAACTGATTTCCGCAAGCTGTTGCTATGATATTCTATTAAATTTTAATTTAGTTTTTTGGACATTGTGAATGATCATATACTAAAAAGTATAAAGTGTAATTGAAACCACTAATTTATTCCACTAACTGCGGGGTTCTGAATGAAGCGTTAAAATAAAATAATCTTCAATAAAAGTCAATTAGCATACCGTAAATGTTTCTTGGTATATATTTTCTTCATACACAGCTGAGTACACCTCATCTTTCAGGCCCACAGCTTTCTTACTGAACAAGCCACCATCGGAGCAATCACTATACGCCGCCATAAAAAATTGGGTATCGGGCCAATCTTCTGTTTCGTTTCCGTACTTTGTTGTTGCAAAGCCCATTACCTGATATATTTATAATGAGAAAGTGTTTGTATATGTATATTAAAAAAATACGATCTATAAAGAATATACTTTTGTGGTAATAATTACTACAATACCGCTCTTAATCAATAGCAAATATTTCAGTAAAATACGACTTCGACAACCGGGATTCCTCCTGAATCTTACTATTTGCAAGGTTTTGACAGAAATTATATTTCTGTTGAAATAATGCTAAAAACTGAAAAAGAAAAATGATTTGGAATAGATTAAAGTAAATAGTTTAATATTCACAACAATCATAACCACCGAGTTCGAAAAATTTGGCAAACTATTTTACTTTTGTGCATAGCGGTAGAGTTTAAGCTACTCTCTCCTATCTGCAAATGCCTTACCTCGCAAACTGGTAACCAATAAATTGGTCCGGTTCTGTTTTGAGCAAACTCATTAACTGTTTCCGTAGAAAAAATCTTTGGTAGATTAAAACTGCATGTCGTATTTGCGTATTCTTCGCCTGGTTCAAACAAATATGAAGCACCTCCCATAGCAACGTGGTCTTGCATATTCATACCGACGCCAGGGGAATCTACCAGTGGTTCTATTTCAACATCTTCCAAATGATCTTTTGGACCAACTCCAGCTGTAATATAAATGATATATAAATAACATCTAAATGATATAATTACTTATTTTTATAACAGTATTAATAAATTAATACAGGGTGGTCCGAATTGTATTCGGCAAACTTAGGCAGCATATATATAAAATAAGTAAAAAAGTTCGAATGAATGTATGTCCGAAAATGCTTCGTTTAGGAGATACAAGGTGTAGAAGTTTTATTTTTATTTCGATTTTTTTCAAATAATTTCTAAACTAATATAGATACCTATTTGGATGAAAATTGGTGTGTAGATGTTTTTGGTACAGGGTTGTTCACCACATACGACACGGAGTATTGTAGCTAAACGACTAGATTTTTACAAATTGTAAGTTTTGGGTTCGTTGAAGGTCTATTAGAGCTACAATTTAAAAATATTTTTACAAGATACAGAGTATCCCAAATAAGTAAAAAATATTGTAGTTGTATTTTTTTAAATAGAATACCCTGTATATTATTCTATTTTTGGATTCTACGATTGAAATAAAGGTAAATTTGATTAAGGTTTATCACACTTAAACCTTACCGATTTTGAAATATTTTCAATTTTATGAAATTGCAATAAAAATTTTAAAGCTTTATTTCTCCCAGGGTATCAAAGTTTTTAATACTAAATATTTACTGAAGATTATTTATTGATCAGATATTGAGTTTCAATAATAAAAATTTTACTACCTTATGCAGAGTGTCCAAAAAATTATATTAAATAATTACTAGCTTTAAACGGCAATAACTTGTTTAATTTAAATGGAACGCCCTATATATTTTACGTGAATCAGATGCACAATGTAATTGTCTATCAAATTGTATTATACCATTTTTTACCCAGCTCTTCAAGTTTTCGTAGAGAATGCATTTTCTTATAATTTAGACCTCATTTATCACTATACCCATGGAATATTGACATTTCAGATTTTTTATAGCACCATAATATGTACAAAATGTACAGGTGGTAAATATTGCAAGCCCATTGGCATACAAAAAAACTATTTAAATCTTTGTAAAACAGTATACCAATTAAATATACCACCATTATTTCCTACCAAAAACACCAAAAATTAGTTAATTACATACTTTTAAATTGTCTTAATTAATAAATTATTCTAAATAAATGTGGATTTAGCTCAGAAATCAATATAATAATAAGTTATGAAAATGAATGTCCCTGTTTGTATAAATAAGCATTCGTCAATAAATGAAATAAAATTTATAAGGTGTTACTTTTTACCACACTGTCTAATACATACACAAAATTCAGTTTTTGAGTATTTGGAGCAATTATTACTACAACGTAAACAGTCAATTAATGTAGTTTGAATACTGGGATCATATTAATTGGTCCTCTTTAACAAAAAATATTTAAACAGTTTTTTTTATTTTTTAATTAAATAAGCGAACTATATCGACAATATTAGTATCTGTACCCTTTGAAAATTTTTTACATCTTTAAAAATAAGCTAAAATGTCAATATTCGATGGGTATAGTGATAAATGAGGTCTAAATTATAAGAAAATGCATTTTCTATGAAAACTTGAAGAACTGACAATGTCAGGAAATAAATGAATAAATGTGGCAACTTAACATTTTTAGCGAGAAATTTAAATTCCAGTTAGTCAGCCCGGCGCCGAATATGTCCATGGTTGGCAACAATGAATTTAAAAATCGCGCCCTCGATTACGTAACTAAAAGTTTAATTGGTATCAAATATCGATTAGCAATAATGCTTCACCACAGTCGATCAGATCACTTTGTAAATTTACTAAATGTGTTCATCAATAAAGACCATATTCTTGTTATTATAAAAATACTTACACAGCATTAATAGTTGCGGCGAGCCTAGGGAACCAGCACTCAAAATCACTTCTCGACTACTGTAAACTCTTTTTTTTATTCCAAATTTTTTAAACTCCACTCCATAAGCCTGGTAATTTTCGTTCATTAAGACTTTTTCTACATCTGAATGTAAACTAACGTGAAGATTAGGTCTATGACAAACTGATCTACAACACAAAGATAACAATAATAAATATAAAAAATGTCTACAGCGGATTCATCTCTCCAAAAAATCCTATGGGTATTGCGCCACTGTAATAAAATCTGAATTGTAAAACATGATAAATGTGATAAATTTTATATTGATGAAACATCTAGACCCTTAAATGTTCGAATTAAAGAACATAAAGATTATTTAAGAAAGAGCGATTTTCACAAATCTGTCATTGTCATCAATTTGTCAACATTCGTGGGACACAGGTTTTAACCATGCTACAAAGAAAACAAGGTATGATCGATAGCGGCTCCAATTTCGGTAAGTTTGCGCATACCACCTGTGACGTCATATGCCAAACAAAAAAAATATCCATATTGTTCAATTGCCACTAATAAAAAAAGAACTAAAATAGGGAAGAATTAGGACATAACCCCAAAAGTTATGTCAAATCATGGAGCTTGACATTTGAAAAATTATTTTCACATTTATTATGTCATCTGTTTGACAATTTGAAATTGGCGCGCGGAGTTGCCGACCAATGGTGCCGTTTATCACCTGTGACGTAATGACCAACCTGCGCAATATCATACCTTGTATTCTTTGTATCATGGATAAGTACCGACCATGGTACAAAGAATACAAGGTATGATATTGCGCAGGTTGGTCGCTACGTCACAGGTGATAACAGGCGTTATTGGTCAGCACGCTCCGCGCGCCAGTTCAAATCGTCAAGATATTGTTATAAACCTGTTTTTTTGTTTATATACCGTCATTGAATTATCGCTAAGCAAGTTACTGTGGAGCAGTGCGTAAGGAGTCGGGCTAGGAAGCGAGAGACCGGAGTTCGAATCTCGGCCGGGACATAACGTTTTATTTATTTTTTTAAATACTGTATTTTAATAATAATTTTTGTAGTATAAAAAAAAGAACTATTTATTCTGTTATTTTTTAATCTCCGGTATTAATATAAATTGATTGTTGGTACAATACCTCATTTAATATAAAATAATAGGTATTCTACTTTTTGTAATGTATCGGGCCCTAATTGTACCTAAAAGTAATATATTTTTAATGATATACCAAATTGTAAACTATTTAATATTTCAGTTACTTAAAAAGTTAATTTGCATTGAATAATTGCCTACCATTAAAGGAAATTTGAGCTATATAATCCTTGATGGGCATATTCTGGGTATGCACATACTTCCTCTAAATTTTGGGTTTTGTTCAACCGATTTATTCTCAAAACCTGAAACATCTACATATAAAAAGAAGCACAGGTAACTTATTATAATAAACTTCACCCTTGGAATTACTTCCACTAATCATAATAAACTTCACCCTTGGAATTACTTCTATCACAATTACAATACATTCATCTGCATTGCATTTTCTACTTTTCAATGGGAAACTTCAACTTCCCAACATTTTTTAAATGATGTAACAATTCCTCTTGTGGTTACTTTTCCATAGATATCCTCATCTCTGTCCTCATGTGAATTCAGAGGCAATGAACATGAAAATTATTTACCATAAACATCGCAAACTAAAAACCTAATAAACAATTTTATACCGAATATAGAAATAAATTTAGTATTCTTACCTATTATCGTCCAAATCCATGTTAATATATAATTATTATCTTTAAATGTATTTTTGGAACTGCTGGTTTTAGTAATTATTAAATTAAACGAACTAAGAAGTCTTAAAAATAAACAATTCTTAACCATAACCCCAAAAAATGCAGATCTCCTGTCAACTTTCTTTATTTTTTATTTATTCATTATTTTCCTAGTGACGTCACAGGTGGTATGCGCGAACTGAACGAAATTGGAGCCGCTATCGATCATACCTTGTATTCTTTGTACCATGGGTTTTAACCATGCCTAGGAAACTCTTATGGAAGTGACAGGTTGTAGCCGATAGTCTATTACTAGACGCACGAGGGGGCGCAATTAGCAACAAAATTTAAATCTTTACCTGTTTTTACCTGGGTTTTACCGTCAAATGTAAAATTTAACCTTTTTTTTTAATTTAGCCAATTTGATAAGCTAAAGTAATCTAATTCGTATAAAAAAAAATTAAAACCTATGACGTCATTTTTTCCCCTAAACAAAAAAGATGCATGAAATTCCGGATAATTTACTAGCTGATCTGACAACCATGTATCAATTCGCAATATTTGTCAAAATTCGACCTTCACTACTGTCAGCGTAAACATAGAAACGGATATAAACAAGTCCGCCACTCTTTCATTATCGGTTATAGAATTTGCCCTGGAATTTGCTATAAAAATCAAATAACAACATTTTTAAGAATATTTTTTATGTGAAACGTGTTTTTCCGCATCAGATTTTAGTCAAAGAATCCAAGAAGTTCATTTTAAGGTAACATAAACTTCATTTTCTAAGAAAAATCGTGTGTCAGGATAGTTCACCGAAGCCGTATAAACCGATAAGATAGTTTCCCTTCCTTTGAGATTGTTAATTAATTTTAAAATAGGTTACCCTAATTGTTATAGATCTATATAGTTTTTATTATTACCTATAATGTTTTGTATTGTTTTTGGTATTATATTCAGTTCAATAAAGATGGTTTCTTATAGTTTTTTTGTGTTTTTGTTATATTTGTATTTAAACGTAAATCCATTTATTAGTAAATTGGTTCTTTCTTGAATCAATTTACTTGAATAAATGGAAAAATCTGAAAAAACTAGAAACCATCCATTTTAAATTTATGTTTTATTTCGTTACTAGACCCACGAGATGGCGCCACCGCTCGGTCCGGACGAAATGTATTGAGTTTCCTATGTATTATATTATAGTATCATATCTATGGTTTTAACAGCGCAAAAATTATAATGAAAGAAGCTATAGCCTCTAAAAGAAAAAAAAGTTTTTTTAATACAATCTATTAAAAATAAATGTTTTGCTCATGCATCTGTAGATTATAGATGTTAGTAATGTATGGCAATCGCTTCTTGGATTTTTAAAGGACATAACATAAATAAACATAACATACGTAAAAATTAAGAACAAATTAAAAAATAACCATACAGTAAGTTTGAAGTGTTTTGGTTTTATCTTATTAAGTTATTGTTATCAGTTAATTTTGAAGTTTAACTTCATAATGCCATTTTAACAGAACATCAACGGTTTTTATAGACGTATCTGTTTTAAAAAAAACTATAGTGATCTCAAATAGCTGCATTTAAATATTTTATATAGTTTGTTTCTTTGTTCTTCGTTTTTTTTGCTTCCGACGACGGAAAGAGATATACTTCCTAAAACGTTAAGCATTTTTTTGCCCGTTAAGGTACATTGAGGCTGAGAGCGTCGAGCTTCGCGTCGGGTTTGCGTCGCGTCCGCCCCATTGAACTCGAACCCCGACGCTCAGCGGACACTAGCGCAACGCCAAACGCGACGCTGTCTACCTGAACGGTCTAATTTAAGTGAATTGATTCCATTTCGAAACGCGGACGCGACCCAAGCGCGACGCGACGCTCGACGCTCGACGCTCTCAGCCTGAATGTACCTTTAGGCAAATTTGTTTATTAGCAAAACACTGCTGACAATGTACAGGGTGGTCGAAATTGGTCTGTTTTAACAGAGAAAACCTATTTCCTGACTAGATAGAGCAAAACTGACATAGATGTCATGGACTCGACTTCTGAGAAACGTTTAATGGCCTAAACCGCCTGTTCATATTTTAACTGCCAACCGAGATACGGAGTCTTTTTGAATTTTTTGCCATTTGGAAAATTGCCCATACCTTTTGTATTTCCAGGAATAATAAAATTCTGTAAAAACGTTCTCAAGGCACTTTTTTAAGCACAATCCAGTGGCGTAGTCAGTTTTTTTCTATACTGGCTTTTTTAGTCAGAAATAATAAGAAATATAATTTTTTAAATGGAAATCATAGTTGGCTATGAACTTAAAAAAATGCTGGCGTTTAGCCCTTTCCAACGATATAAAGTTATGTGTATTTATTTCTAAAAATGACAGAAGTATTACGTTTTTTATCTTTGTATCGAAGCGGGCCTTGATTTTGTGTTGACCTATAGTTGCCTAATTATTTTTTATCACAATTTAATATTATATATCATTATTTATCTGCATAATTAAAGACTTTTGAAAAGGTAAATCGACATTCTATATTAGTATTACCATTTACAATTACAACTACACTATTAAATGGAGAATTTAGAGATAATTGGATTGGATCAAGAGATCCCATATCTTGGCCTGCTAGGTCCTGTGATGTAACTCCTTTCGACTTTTTTTATGGGGGAAATTAAAAGGCCTTATATATAAGGGAAGAACTATTGGGACGAGAGAAGAATTACAGAAGGCTACTAGGCAAGCTTTTGGACTTATTAGACCAGTTCACCTAATAATTTTTTGTAACTCTGTGCGCAAAAAATGTTTATTGTGTATTCAACAAGGGGGTGCTCAGTTTGAACATCTTTGATGATTTTTTTTTTTAGAAAACTATATTCGGCACTCAAAAAATACTTTTTTTTAGTTTTATTCTTTGTTTATTGTATTGACTTCAATTGTAATTACTAATACGAATAGGGAATGTTAATTTACCTTTTCAAAATTATTTAATTATGCAGATAAACAATAATATAGAATATTAAATTGTGATAAAAAATAATTAGGCAAATAGGTTCAACACAAAATCAAGGCCCGCTTCGATACAAAGATCAAAAACGTAATATTTCTCTCATTCTTAGAAATAGATGTCCATAACTTTAGATCAATGGAAATGGTAAAACGCCAGCATTTTTTTAAGTTCATAGCCAACTATGATTTCCATTTAAAAAATTATATTTTTCATTATTTCTGACAAAAAGAGCAAGCATAGAAAAAAACTGATTGCGTCACTGCCTTAATAACGTTTTTACAGAATTTTATTATTACGCAAAACAAAAAAGTTATGGGCAATTTTCAAAACGGTAAAAAAATCAAAAAGACCCCGTATCTCAGTTAGCAGTGAAAATATCAACAGGCGGTTTACGCCATTAAACGTTTCTCAGAAATCGAGCCCATGACATCTATGTCGGTTTTGCTCTATCTAGTCAGGAAATAGGTTTTCTCTATTAAAACAGACCAATTTCGACCACCCTGCGTTTGCGTCGCGTCCGCCCCATTAAACTCGAACCCCGACGCTCAGCGGACGCTAGCGCAACGCTAAACGCGACGCTGTCTGCCTGAACGGTCTAATTTAAGTTAAGTGAATTGATTCCATTTCGACACGCGGACGCGACGCGACGCTCGACGCTCTCAGCCTGAATGTACCTTAATCTCCGTTGGATTAACGTTGCAGTATTTACAAAAAATAACTATTTTATTTTGTAGATTTTCTTACAGTGGTGAAATACCCATAGGACTTTTTTGGAGAATAATAAATATAGTTCTGTAATTGACTAAGGGCAACTTAAGATAGATTATTTTAAGTTGCCAGTCCTAAAAATATTTGCACTGATTTAAGACACCTCCTGGCATATTCCCAATAGAATTTATATTATTGTTTAAACTAATATAATACCTGATAAATGCTTTTGCCGTGCTACAACGAAGACCATCTCTTAATGTACCATGTGACAGTGTAAATCCAGTTTGGTACTCTCCATTAATATCTCTTACTGGATAGCCAGCTTCTTTGGCTGCATCTAACCACCAATACGATAATGGCGAACGGTATCTATAAATATATTTTTTCACTCAGTAGATTTATACAGGTACGGACGAAAAGTTATTACTCTTCGAAACAATTAAAACACATGTAGGTGGCGCCCCCTACAAATAGGAGTCATATTGAGATCAAAATCAAATGTTTCATGCAAAAAAAAATCCCAGACACCAAATTTCATCCAAATATTGACGTTATTTCAGAAATTATTTGGCAAAAATAGAAATAAAAATGAAATTTCTACACCCTGTATCTACATAACTAAGCATTTTAGTTAGATTTAAAAGAACTTTTTTCTTTATTCTACAAAATATACTGCCGAAGTTTCCGGAATACAGTTCGGACCACCCTGTATATTGAAATTTAAAATACATGGAAATTTTAAGGTGTTTGTTCCCTCTCTTTTCAATTAATTATTTTGCTCTATAATAGTGTCATTTTTTTTGTATTTATTTTTGTTAATAAGGGTCATATTATTATTATTATTATTTTTATGAAAGAAATAAAATCTAGTATATACTGTTAATATTACCTAAAGTATTCTACGTTCAGATATCCTCCGGTTCCGTGATACGGGTCATTTCTGTACTCGTCAATTCTCATGTCTTCTGATTTGATAAAGTATGGCAGTATTTCGTTGTAACTCCATCCGGTATTACCTAATTCAGCCCATCTAAAATGCAAGAGGATAACTTGTCCCATGTAAGATATCACAATACGGGATCTCGTAAGAGAGATATGAAGATGGTTAAATTAGCGAAAAGATGAGCATTGCTGAACCCTACAACAAGGGCGTGTTCAGAAATTTGAAAAAAAAAATCAAATACTTCCATAAATATTTAGGAAAAACAAAGTTTTACATTTTTTTTGTCTCTAGAGGATTCGACAATAGTGCGTCGGGCTTGACTGTAGATCCTATGATAAAGAAAATGTGTGTGCACTATGTGCGCATATTGAAACTTCTTACTAAGAGCTATTAAATTGAAGGATTTGAAGGATGTCTATTTTTATGAATGGCTTTTATCTTTACATTTTTTTAATTTTCATTAAAAAACGATTATTTTATCACCAGATCGGATAGCCCTGGTATCCGTGGCCATTAAACCAAAATACTCTTCTTCTTCGGTTCCATCTCCTAATGGAGGTTGGAAATCATCATGGCAATTCTAACTCTGTTAACGGCTGCTCTGAATAACTGGTTTGAAGTCATTCCAAACCATTCTCTCAAATTCTTGAGCCATGATGTTCTTCTTCTTCCTTGGCTCCTTCTGCCCTTTATCTTTCCTTCTATTATGTTCTGCAGCAGGGCATATTTAGGTCCTCTCCCAAGCAGCATGTGAACGTCGGGACAACGATGTGTCACGCGACCAAACGTCGGGGCGCAACGTCGCCACAACCTCGTGCCAACCCTAGTCTGCACTAGTTTGGAGAATAATTTTTGGGTCGAAACGCTACGTTGGATACCTACATTGGCTAGCAGCCTAATTTAGTACAAACTGCAACGTTGTTTAAAATCCTAATTCACAGAAATACAAAACTATAATAATATGGCGTCTAAGTCGCGTTTTATCCTAAATTGGGATAATTATAGTAAAAATATTATTTTTATGATTTAGTAAGAGACATAGGTCAGATGGCAGTAAAGGAAAACAAAACAAAAGTATTTAAGTGTGGAGGATGTTTGAAGATTATAATTATTGAAACACTTTAACCAACTCCGTAACTCGTTACCCAAGGCAAAAAAGTTAAACGCAAACAACTTTATTGATAAATGTATTGTTTCTACTTTGAAAAATACTAACGGGCCTTAAAATTAAAGAAGTTTTAAAAAATTTCTTGAATTTTTTTTTTAGTAAAATGAGAATAATTTATTCGCAGTCGAAAAACAATTGTTTCCGCGTGTTGTTTAGGGTCAAATATTTCAAGTTAATGTATTCCAAAAGCAGGAATTGCTATTTCAGGAACGAAACATTTTCTTATTCAAGAACATGGCGGCTTTCACTTTGTTGTTTTGGAGATTAAGATGGAGTAGTTCGAGTAGTCGCATACTAGACTAATAAAGTCGCAGTTCAGCCTTAACAGGTAGTATACTAATCGCAAGATTACCTAATGTAGTCATTTTAGAGTCTAGCTTGTGCCGCACTCTATATTCTAAATAAACGAGGGAGTGGGATCGGTAATATGTCGATGTATAATTTAAATTTAGTTTTATATGTGCCTTTCTTACGTCCCATTTTAATTAAGTTTTTTTCGTGAAAATGCGCAAGTCGTGAAAATGCTACTTGGGCTCATTATGTGTCCAAAGTACTCAGGTTTTCTCTTTTTAAGGGTGTTTCTGCGTCGCACTTCTACATTTGTAACCTTGTCAGTCCATGCAATCCTCAGCATACGCCGATAACACCATCTTTCGAATGCCTCAAGCTTCTCCATTTCGGCCTTTTTAAGTGTCCAAGCCTCTGAACCATAGAGTAGAGTTGCAAATATGTAACCCCTTAGCATTCTTAATCTAAGCTTTAAATTGATGTCTCCACTGCACAGACATTTTTTGAGTTTTACAAAGGATGCTTTGGCTATTTCTATTCGAGCTTTTATTTCTGCTGATTGATCCAAGTTGATCCAACTGCCTAGATATTTATATTTTTGTACTCTCTCCATAGGTGTATATCATCTATTAGAACATTGGCTTGGACATCTTCTCTCTTACCAAAATACTACTACATCTATATCTCTGACTACTACTAACTGCTACCAACCAACAATTTCTTTTGTGTGGTCTGTTTTTGTTTTAATGTTTTGTTCGTTATTCATGTTGGGGATTTGTATTTAAATTAATGTTAATCGTTAGACAACTAATAAACTCATACAATATGTATTTCTTTTGCATAATCAAAATTGTCACTCTAAATTTTACATAACCAAATTGTCACTATAAATCGCTGTCTTTTTTAGACAGATGTCACTTGTCTTTATGTTTATTTTTTTATGTTGTCACAGAACATCCCCCTTTAGAACTTTTTCTTTAATGGCCATAAGCGGGAGTAAAAGCCCAACCGCCCGAACAAACACTAGAGGCGCCACCGGTCATCAAATGGTGTAAAAATTGCGAAAATTTAATCATCTAATTTTGACACAAGGGGTCGCGCTTAACTTTTTCAATTTTAATTCAATATTCATTGTTTTCAAACTATATTATTAGACTTTGTTGTATTTTGTGAATGTATAAATGTTTTCTTAGTATAAAGTTGCATTATAGTAATTTAAATTATATATTACATACATATTGTCAAGAAAAATGGCGCATCCGCCAGAAATTAAAAATGTATTACTGGTTGCCTGCACAACCGCAACGTATCCGCCAGAAATTAAAAGACTTTTTCAGGCGCCATCTTTTAGTCAAGTCGAGAAGTAAGGGAATCAGACAATAGAATTGTCTGGTATGAAGAAGTACGCTTTCCGAGAATTGGGGAAATTTCGAGAAGCAGTCAATAGAGTATATAAGCCGGAGCCATCGACAACTGAGAAAGTTTTTGAAATTTGAATATACCGCGTGGAAATTGAAAATCGGACAATTTGGTGAAGGAATCTTATAAATAGTTAGTTTGTTGTGTGTTATAAGTTAGTAATTGTGTATAAAGTGAGAAAAATAAATTCGTTAAGTATTTTATTGTGAGTTTAAATTAGTGGACCCACGGAATCCGTAACAATTGGTGTCGGAAGTGCGATTCAAGAGGATTTTAAGAAGAAATTAAGTGGATTGGAAGATTTTTAGACCCAATTAGAGTATTTTTATGGTTGGTACAAGAGAACAAGCGAAGAAAATGGAAGAAGTAAGCAAATTATTGGGCGATTTTATGGAGAATATGAGAAGAGAGAAGGCAGAAGAACAAGAAAGACTACGTGAAGACGAGAAGAAGAGCGAGCCCGATTAGAAAAGAGAGAAAGAAGAGGAACAATGCCACCTTTTTGAAAATACTTATGGAAAATCAAGAAAAAATCTTAGAAGGTTTAGAAGCGCGTCAAAAGAAGAAAAACAAGAAGAACAGGACCGGCTTGAGAAAATTTTCGGAGATTTGAAATTCCAACAACAACAAGATAAACAGGAAGAACAGGACCGGCTTGAAAAAATTTTCCAAGATTTGAAAATTCAACGACAACAAGACAAAGAAGAAGAACAGGACCGGCTTGAGAAAATTTTAGGCAATTTAGAAATTCGTCAGAAGAATGAATGGAGGGAAATTTTAGAAGATATAGAAACGCGCCGCCAGAAAGAAAGACAAGAAGATCAGGACCGTCTTAAGAAAACTTTGGAAAATCAGGAATTTCGACTACAGAAGAATTTTGAAGACCTGGAAAAACGGCAGGAAAATCAACTTCAAGAAACCGTAGAAGATCTTGAGGAACGCCTTCAGCAGAAGATAGAAAGATTGGAGATGGACCTACAGAAGACCAAGGCACAAGTAAGAACACCTGGCGTTCATGGAACTGCGAACCTCAAGGCCCCGACCTACGATGGACAAACCACCTGGACGATGTACCACCGCCAGTTTGAAGCAGCGGCTGCTGCCAATGGATGGACTGACCAGGAGAAAGCAGCGGCACTTGTCATCGCGCTGCGTGGCCCTGCCTGGAACTGCTGCAACTATTCCTGCAGCCCAACAGCAGGAATACGAAACTTTGGTCGCTGCACTGGACAGAAGATATGGCGACCAACATCGACGCCAACTTTACCAGGCCCAGATCAAGACACGCCTGCAGAGGTCCAGAGAGAGTCTGCAGGAATTTGAAGCAGACTTACGTCGGCTGGTACACCTAGCGTATCCTGAAGCACCGGAAGGATTTAGGGAGGAACTCGCTGCTCAGTGCTTTATCAGGCGCAGAGGGCGCTGCAAATATCCTGATTTTCTACCAGCAGCGAAGCACTGGTCAGGGCGCTGGAAATCGAAGCTGCTTTTAGCGCCATCCCTAGACCGAAGATAAGATCGGTAACGGTAGAGGAACAGCCCGAGAGTACCCACAGAAGTTTGGAGGAGATGTGTAGAAAATTCGACAAACTATGTGAGCTACTAATAAACAAGTAAGTCAACAACACCCAGACAGAGAACCAAAGAAGATTCCAGGACATGAGGTGCTATGGATGCGGCAGGAATGGCCACATCAAACGGTATTGTCGCATCCAAATGCGATTCCATTCACCATCCAGAGAACATCGGCACATCGGAAGATCCCAGGACATAAGTTGCTATAGATGTGGCAGGAATGGCCACATCAAACGGGATTGCCGCGTCCAAATGCGATTCCGTTTACCATCGAGAGAACATAGGCACCCGGAAATCAACACTAATGAGCGAGTATTGGCTGAAGAAAACAGAGCCCCTAGGATGTTTTCCGTTAGGAGTCTAGGAAAAACCGCTGACAGTTTGGTGATCAACGGGAAGGTCAATGGTAGAAGAAATCGAATGACTGTGGACACAGGCGCTATGGTATCGTTGGTGCAGACTAACTCAGTGCGAGGATTGAAGATGATGCCTCTTAGAAGAAGAGTGTATTTACGTACAGTTACGGGGGAAATGGCCGTTGTACGGGGAGAGGCTTTCATGGAATTGGAGTTAGGGAATTTGAAGTTTCGGCATAGCGTTTTAGTGGCGGACATTGAAGATGATTTTATCATGGGTATGGATGTGATCAGTCAACATGGTTTTTCGTTTGATCACCATAGAAACATCCTGAAAATCGGAAATGAGGAATTTTCTGTATCTAAAGAGAAGAGACCAGGAAATATGGAAGAAATATTATCGAAAATTGTGATGATACCTGGTGATACCAAGAAGACTGTGTTCGGGAAACTAGAGAAAACCGTTGGGTGCCGTGTAGGACGGGTACAAATTATCGACAACGAGCCAGATCGACGACGAGCTACTTTGGGCAAGAAAATGAAACATCGCGAAAGCACTATCAGAGTAAGGAATTTTAAACTGAGAACTGACGAACAATGGACGACGATACAGTTGAGGAAAGATCAAATGGAAGATCCAGACATCGGAGCAATACTACGGCTCAAGGAAGGTAACGGCGAGAGACCACCGTGGCAGGATATTGCGGACAGAGGGCTCGTTTTCAAAGCTCTCTGGGCTCAGTGGAATTCACTGGTGATTGAGAATGGATTGATAAAGCGCACGTGGGAAAGTGCGGATGGCAGGACAGTAACAACTCAGTTACTGGTACCAAGGAAGAAAGTCACCCAGGTATTGGAAGAAATTCACGGTGGTAAAACTGGAGCCCATCTTGGAGTAAACAAGACCTTGAGTAAGCTGAGAGACCGTTTTTACTGGGTGGATTATTGCGAAGATGTTAAGAAATGGTGTCAACGTTGTAAGATTTGCGCAGCTAGACAAAGACCAAGTACTCGATCTGGGGAAGAAATGGAACAGGATAGCGTTGGACTGTCGTTCGAAAGAATCGCTAGGAAGGAAAGATTATTGGACATTCATAAGGCCGTTAGAAGTAAGATTGCGCTAGCCAGTGACCGGATGAAAGCTCATTACGACCTCAGAGCTAATTCTACGGGATTTCAACAGGACGATAGGGTATGGTTGTATAACCCACAGCGCAAGAAAGGAAGGTCCCCAAAGTTAACTCCAGCATGGGAAGGTCCTTATACAGTCATCAAGAGGATAAATGATGTTGTGTACCGGATTCATCGCAGCCCTAGAAGTAAGATGAAAGTAGTTCATCTGGATCGATTGAAGAGATACCAGACAGGAAACCTTGATCGGGACGATCAAATTTGAGAGGGGGCAATGTCAAGAAAAATGGCGCATCCGCCAGAAATTAAAATGTATTACTGGTTGCCTGCACAACCGCAACGTATCCGCCAGAAATTAAAAGACTTTTTCAGGCGCCATCTTTTAGTCAAGTCGAGAAGTAAGGGAATCAGACAATAGAATTGTCTGGTATGAAGAAGTACGCTTTCCGAGAATTGGGGAAATTTCGAGAAGCAGTCAATAGAGTATATAAGCCGGAGCCATCGACAACTGAGACAGTTTTTGAAATTTGAATATACCGCGTGGAAATTGAAAATCGGACAATTTGGTGAAGGAATCTTATAAATAGTTAGTTTGTTGTGTGTTATAAGTTAGTAATTGTGTATAAAGTGAGAAAATAAATTCGTTAAGTATTTTATCGTGAGTTTAAATTAGTGGACCCACGGAATCCGTAACAATATTTTAGATTCAAATATTATGACATATATGTCAGTTGCCGTCTAAAATGTCATCTTGATAACAAAAAGTTTTTTTTGTATTTTACTAAGAGTGAGTCCCAGGTGGGACCCTCCACTGAGGCCGCGAGGGCAGACAAAAAGTTAGTTATTGTCAAAACTAGTTAAAATCATGTTATAATATTAAAATTTACAAGTTATAATTAGATATTTTATATTATTTCAACAACAAACACATAATAGTACAGCGTAATGTTGATATGCAGGTCCAAAACAAAAAGTGTCGTTATATTTTTCAGTTTTCGTTGTCAGTCGCGTTTCAGTGATTTTAGTGCTGTCGGATATTTTTATTTGTGAAATAGAAATATTGCATTTGGATTGCAAAACTAAAAGTGGAAGTTTTATTGCAATGTAAGTAAACGTTTGTCCATTTTATATTTTACTTTTTTCATACCTACGACAAATATATTGAAATTTTATAATTCGTTTTATTTAAAAAATGTTAGAAAACAAGCTTGGTAATCGTGTAATTGACATAATTGTTATGTAATATATTCCATTTAAATGTAATATAGTACTTTACAATTAAAAAATGTAAATTTAAAAAATATATTAAAAATATATACAGGCATTAATTGAAATTTTTTGAGTGCGAACAAACACGAGAGGCGCTTTATTATTTACTTTCATTTCTTAACATGACAGACGAAGTTCTAAAGGGGGATGTTTTGTGTATGTTGTTAACAAAAAAGAGTTTCATCTTAAAAGAAAATTTTAATCAATCACAGTTGTTTATCTCCATCATTTACCGGATTAATAATACAGAAATTACAGTTCAATTACAAGCAATTCATTATTTGTTATTTATAGTGATTTACAGTAATTTTATTAAATTATAGGAATATTCTCGTTGATTATTGGTTTGAAATAAATATGACAGTATCCTCTCCAATGAAAATGCGAGTTACTAACACTCACGGCGCGGCCGTGTGATGTGGTGAAAAAACATTTGTTTTTTCCAAATATCTTCATCAGTAATCGGATTTTTTAGATTTCGAAACATACGCAATATTAGGGTTCGGCAAGACGCAACTTTTCTGTAATGTAATTATCTTTGTATCTCTTCTGGATTACGAGATCCCTGCAATGTGCATTTTAATATGGAACATCGTATGATCGGGCTGTTACTTTAGTCAATTGAACCGCCATAATTCTCATTACCTATTATAATCTTTCTTATTTCCTCTCACATAAAGCATTGCGTTTAAAACCGACGAACCGCCTAAAACTTTTCCTCTGGGCCAGTTACATTTTCCATCTACCATAGCCTGGCAATATTTGTCCCCGGGCTCAGTCTAAAACAAAACTACTTGGTCACAATCAAGGTTTTTTAAAACAAATAAATAAAAATTGGTCAAGTGTGAGTCGGACTCGCGCATGAAGGGTTCCGTACTATTCATGATCTATACAACATTAGACACTATATTATTATAAACTTTTTTTCCGATTTAGCTGAAATTTTGAATGCGCGCATAAGCAATTAAAAAAATGAAGAAACACATTACTAAAAATTGTATTAATCAATAATAAATATGTAAAAATTAAAAAAAAAACGATTAAAAAAAAGTCGCCTTGACTAGGATTAAAACCTGCCTTACTACGGCTCCAACGTCATAGCAGCGTAAAGTCCTAAGGCTTTAACCACGCGGCCACCGAGGACTTGAAAGATTCTATGTAAAATTCTCACTTAAAAGGTAATGTTTAGTGAAAGTACTTTTTTATATATAAACATTTATTTAATTCTGTTTTTAGTATTTGTTCTTATAGCGGCAACATAGATACATTATCTGTAAAAATTTCAACTGTCTAGCTATAACGGTTCATAAGATACTTTTGTGACAGACGGACGGACGTATAGCGAAGTGTTAGTAATAGCACAGAATATCTAGCTACGCAACAGAAGCCTCGTTACACGTATAAAATTGTAGGTATCAAAAGGAGACAGGCTTTTAAAGCCTGTCTCCAAATCAGATTTTTGATGCGGTAGTTTCGCTACTACATAATAGAGGGCGATAAATTTAAAAGAAAACAGTTTTCTACAAACGAAATTTAAAAGAATTTTATGCAGTGTTGCCATTGTGTAATTCAAATTGTAATACTTCCTTATATAGCCTACCTTCAAATTTGTTACAACATATTAAAATAGATCAGAGCTCTGTTTTCAAACGTTTAGGTATTTAACTTGCCATGTTAGTTGGAGTTAAATCTTACGTGCTGAATTACAATCACTTTGTGACGTTTGATTGTAACTGAATTTCCTGGCGTTCGATTGGACATACTTGGTATAGTAAGTATCTTCGGTGACATTGTAATATGATGGTACTATGATGCATATAAAGTGGTAGCTTAAGTACCATATTACGATACCACTTCCTGACGTTCGATTGGGCTCATATTTGATTATGATTATACTTGCGTATTTTTGATGACATTGCAATATTATGGTACCATGAAGTACATCAAGAGGTACCATAATGTAGTACCATATTACGATACCATTTCCTGGCGTTCGACTGGTCTTAACCTTTGTATACTACGTGTGTTCGGTGACATTATAATATGATGATACTTTGATGCATATAAAGTGGTACCTTCTATAGTACCATATTATGATACCATTTCCTGACGTTCGATTGGGCTGATATTTGATTATACTTGCGTATTTTTTATGACATTGCAATATTATGGTACCATGAAGCATATCAAGGGGGTACCATAATGTAGTACCATATTACGATACCATTTCCTGGCGTTCGATTGGGCTTAAACTTTGTATGCTACATATTTTTGGTGACACTGTAATATAATGGTACTATAATACATATAAAGTGGTACCTCCTATATACTATATAGTATAGTACCATATTATGATACCACTTCCTGACGTTGGATTGGGCTCATATTTGATTATACTTGCGTATTTTGATAACATTGCAATATTATGGTACCATGAAGCATATCAAGAGGTACCATAATGTAGTACCATATTACGATACCATTTCCTGGCGTTCGATTGGGCTTAAACTTGGTATACTACGTATCTTCGATGACATTGTAATATGATGGTACTATGATGCAAAAGTGGTACCTACCTATAGTACCATATTACGATACCATTTCTGGCGTTCGATTGTGCTTAAATTTCGTATACTACGGATCTTCGGTGACATTGCAATATTATGAAGCATATCGAATGGTACCATAATATAGTACAATATTATGATATCATGTCCTGGAGTTCGATTGGGCCAAAATTTGGTATACTTGCGTTTCTTTATAAAGATTTGTTTAATTAATAATTTTAATTTATTTTACAAATTTTAATTTATTGTACGATGTCGTTACAGCAAACTAATATATTATTAATTGTACCTGTGTCATTTTTTAAAATCTACCTAGGTCTATATAAATAACGTGGCAAACAGAAGAAATTTGTTATTATAGTATTTTTTAGTCAATTAACATTTTTTATACTCCATTTTTAATAAATTATTTCCATTATTATTAAACGTTATTAATATTTCATTACTAACGTTTCAGCATTAATAAATATCACTATCAATCGCCCTGCATACTATTAATTTTAAAGATAATTAAAGTTATTTTCTTAGTTAACATAATAAAGTAGTGTACATAATAATATATTAAAAATGTATTTTGTGAGCATATATTTTCTAATAATATACTTAAACTTAAAACTATTTTAAAAGCCAAACGAATAATTAATATAAGTGTATCTGACAAGAAATGAAGAATAGAAAGAAATTATTATACACCAGAAAAAGAATGGGATGCCAATTAAAATCTTTTTGAATCTGGCAACTTGGTGCATATTTAGCCGAGCTTCAAAGCCGTCGACGTGCCGTCGATCAAAAACCGAAAATTGAAAATTTCCGATTATATTCTGATTATGATATTGTCGCGCCATCTAGTATTTTATTTGTGCAATTTTAGCTCTTTCATTTCGAGTATTTTTCTGTTGCGTAGCTAGATATTCTGTGGTAATAGGGTTCCCGTTTTTACCCTTTGGATACGGAACCCTAAAATTCAATTTTTTTATTTAAACTAGATTTTTTTTTATTTTAATAGAAAGCAAAATTTCAATAACTCGATTATTGTCAATTTATTTAAAAAAATGGTAAAGAGAAAATATGTTTCTTTTGACCAGATCTACCGTCCTTTAAAATATCTGCACTTATTTCTGGGACACCCTGTATAAAGGTGCCTTACTATATAGTGTGAAATACAATAAAAATATTATTTTATTACGTTTACCTTATATTGCCAATCAAATGGTGTTAACTGCAATGCCGGAAACATTAACGGCATATCCGTTATACTAATTTCATCTGCGCCAGATTCTAATAGAAGCACGTCCCAATACGGATTTTCTGATAGTCTGTTGGCAAGAACGGTTCCCGCACTACCCCCGCCAACTATGATAAAGTCGTAACTGTCTTTTAGGTTTGTATAACCTGTATCTTTTACGTGGTTTTCCCTAAAATTTTGAAAAATTTGGAACATTATTTTTTATTTTTTTAATACAAGTTACACAAATACAAATATATCAACAAACTTAGAGACAAAGCACTTAAATATTTAAAACAACAATCTGAAGCCAAATTACAATATTATCCTCAACTTAGGAATTTTACAAAACATGCTATGTAACAACAAACATGCAAAAAATGATAGTTATGTTAAAGGGTTTATCGGAAAAGACTGGTAAATATTTCTGGACAGATGCTAAACGACTTAAGTTAAGAGTTCATTTCACTAACCCGAAAAAGTAGCAAAATAAGCGTTCGGTTTTTAACGTTTTATGTCAAACTGGCTAGGTATTTTTACACAAATGAAGAACGAAATTAAAGATAAACCATTATACTATATCCGTATTGTAGCACATTTTTAGACAACTTCTTTATTTTTATGATTTTGATGGTCAAACATCAACAAAATATTCCTTATGTTTGGACTAAATTTTCTCGAAAATAAAGACATAATTTAAAATTCCGTTACAATACGGAAATAGATTGAAGTTTTGTGATTACAGTGATATATAATTTATGTGGTTTTGTAACAAATTGCTCGCTATTTTACGGCAAATGCTGAAGCTCTGCAAACCTTAATCAAGCTTTAATCAAAGCACGTTGTTTAAAACGTGTTTTAAAACTGGTGTGTATTAAAACTGAAGTGTCTTAAAACTTTATGTTTTTTTTTTCTCGTATAATAGACATATTATACGAGCATATCGAGTGGTACCATAATATAGTACAATATTATGATATCATCACTTTAATAATAAATGAACATTTTAAGGTTGTGATATTTATCGTGCCGGACATTGTATTTACATTTTTTAAAATATTCTTATATTTTGTAAATATTTCATGCTTGAAAGCATACATAACTTATATGAAAAAATAAATTATATCCATTTTATTATAATTTCCTCAATAATTTCCTTACATTTTTGTGGCACATACCTGTCAATAATATCGGGCCTTTGATTTAATACTGCCGAGTGAAGATATAATAAAAAGCCCAGTCCAGGTCCTAAGGTCATAGCCATTCGAGTTATCGAATAAAGATTCATCTGTTGATTTATCGTCGACATTTTCGTTGCTGATTGGTTAGCAGACTAGCAGACTTTATACCTATCGAACTAATGATAATTTTAGCTACAGTAAATTGTTTTCTGTGGTATACAGGATATCCCGGACTGAGCGTATTGCTTTAGAACTTTCTAGAGTACTAAGGTATCTAAATCGGACTAGTTATGCATATTATTACAATATTTGGCAAAAAAAAAACATTTGCAATATGGCGGCACATCCGGAAGTACCGGAAGTTGACAGAAATTTTCTAATTTTAAATCGAAATCCTGGGATTATAGGTTCTAATCCCGGGATTTCAAAACGAGACCCCGAAAATTGGAAACCCTAATCATAATAAAGATTGCATCTAAATACCTATATTGACGCCTTTTGTACATTCTAAGTTAAAAAAAACATATCAAACCGTAAAAGAAATGCATGGACGATTTGAGATATAACATATAACGCGGACTAAGACGCGGAAAAAGCTAGTAATGTATTTACCATAGAGTTAAGTATTTACGTTACAAACTAATTTTAACTAAAATTTAAAAAAAATTGCAAAAAAGTTTTCGAAAAATACAAAATTTGTATTTATGTGGCAAAAAACTTATAGACGTATTCCCGGGATCGAGATATATACCACCCTTAAAAATATTTCCTGTTATGCAAGACTCACCCTGTATAGTTTATGAAATAAAAAGTTGATTTCGATATACGTGGTTTCTATTTACGCTGTGTTTTCACGGAATGTAACTCTCGCTTAAAACGAGGGACTCCTCTATGTAAAGAAAGGCCAGATCTAAATATTTGAGTTCTTTAGAAACTCCTAATAAGTACTAAAACTTCTAATAGGACTACCCTGTATACCCCCCTATTACTATTTATATTAATATTAGTATCTTTAGTATTACCTTACCGTAACTATTATTTTAATACCACCCAACTTAACTTTCTAGGCTCATTCACACACATGTATTTAGTCTGTTGTGAGATGAGTGTCATAAATTTAATATAGTTAATATTATTTGCAACAAATAATATTTTTGCGGCGTTTGCAATATCGAGATATAAAGATTTTTTATCATGATATTTAGTTTTGTAATGCATTTGAATTGTATCCTTTTTATAAACATGTTCTATATGAATATAAAATGCTATTTAAGATTAGGTAATATCTACTAGCTTTTTCCATCGACTTCGTCGGCATTGCACCTCAAATCGTTCATGTATTTTCTTTATGGTTTGCTTTTACTTGGAATGTATAGAAGGCGTCAATTTAAGATTTTTAGAAGCACATTTACCCTCTTTACACGTTACAAAAGAGCTATTTTTAAAAGTTTTAACATCCTGTAACTTTAAAACTATGCGTTTTCGCACCCATGTTTATAGGAACTTCTTTTCATATCTTTTGATGAGAAATAAATGAGTGCGTATTTAAAACTTTGGCCCAAACGGATTTTGCGTGCTTATTTTATTCCATCTACGTATGAAATTGCCATTACTATTAAATTAAATTTATAACAGCTGAGTTTACAATTAATTAATATATCAAAAATTTATCATAATGTCAATTTTGATTGTAAAGGTTATCAAAACTTTTTACTAAGAAATTTATTATTTAGATTAATATTTAATTAATAGAGAAACTGTACGTTCAATTTATTATTTAAACTACACAGTATATTTACATTTTATTTATTTAATAAACAATAAGTAACAAGTATATCTAACTACAATTCATAGAACAATACTGGAAATAGCTGGATATTTGGCCACTGAAAGAAAAAACTAAAAATTAAAAAATAATCTATAATGACACAGGATCATTAAATATCTCTAACAATGAGGAAGATGCACATATTTTATTTTTCGCCAGAAACTGTTCAATTTATTAGAATAAATATGTGTAAATGCAAAAAAAAACTTTTTTCTTGAAAGCAGTACCACAATTTTATAAAACGGGCCATTAAAATACTATGGATAACGCAAACGACGCCTTGGGAATTGAAACGATATTCTATTGGTCTGACGTCACCAGCCGTTCTCGTCGACGCGCGATGGCCAGCAGCAGCCAGACGTGTTCCGTTTATGTACGTATTTAGGTGGCGTACTAAGACATTTTTGTTGCTTTTAGCGTTGATTGAAGAAGATTTTTATGCTTTTATTGTGCAGTTATTATTTGTGTGTGTTGTGTGGTCTGAGAATTTTTTAAGTAATGGCAGATTCCGGTTTTTTAAAAGCACAATCAGATAACTTGCCAAAAGTCGATGCTTTTATGTTGGCTGCTTTTATAAATACAAATTCCCAATTTATTGGTGCTGAATTACGAGGAACAAAACAGAGAGGTTTGTAACATTTATTCTTTGTAGTACTGAGGCATATTTAAGTGTAAGTAGGTACCTACTGTTACGAACTTTTATATCGTTATAAATTAATGTTATAAACTTATTTTTTAGATCAGGTAGGGAGGCGTATGGAGATAATGCTGTAGGTTATGTGGAAGGGTGAAAAGAGTCAAAAATATTTGTTTAGTACGTGGAAAAATAACTCCAGAGCATAGCGTGAAAAAGAAAGTTTTTTTTATATATTGACATCCCCTTACCCTTGTTATTTTTAAAGATTGTTTTTTTACGAAATTATAGGAAATAAATTGAATTTTTTTATTAGTAATGAAACTATTATACAAGGTGTCCCATAAGCAAACGTCAAAATTAAGTTACTTTGTTTTAAGTGAAACACCCTATATATTTTTGGATTCTTCGGAAATTTCTAGATATTCTAGATATATTTCATGTATAATATCCTATACCTATCTTCAAATGTTTACGAAATATTGACAGTTGAAAAGCGGCCACTTTCCTTTGACACTTTGACAAGCTCTATAATTTAAGTCGAGAGAGATCGAGGATAAAGGTAACTTAAACACTAACTTTTGTAAGTCCCGCTTAAATTAGAAGTTATTATCATTCGGTAGCTTATGAAAAACTAGGATAGGAATATGCAAACCATTTTCCCCGATCTTATTTGGTTCAGATTTTAGAGCTTGTCAAAGTGTTAAAATGGCCGCTTTTCAACTGTCAATATTTCGTAAACAGTTGAAGATAGGTATAGAAAATTATACACGAAAAATACCTACAATTTTCTGGAACAACTTTTTTGAGACACCCTGTATAACTAGAATTATTTTTAAAAGAGAGTATATAAAAAACCATGCAACTTTTGTATTTAATGTTTTCTTCTAAAACTTGCAGTTGGCTGTAGGTGGGTGTCAAAATATAATGAATAACCCTGTACACACATTCAAATTTCATATACCTATGTAAGACAATATACATAAATATATGAACTTACATCAAAATGATCTTCACAACAATAAATCGTAGAAATAGAGGATAATTTCACGTTTTTCTTTTCATCTCTTCTTCCTTGTACATCTCTTTTTCCTTCTGCCTTCTACCATTTTTTTCTGTTTTCGCTCATCCATTACTATTTATAAATATCACTAATTACTAATTATGTATTAATTAACACAAATAACTAAAATTTTGACTCGGATTCAACAGCGTTTAAAAGCAAACTGTGTAAAATAAACACGCGTCTGGCTCCATTCAACCAGAAAAACGGCGGGTGACGTCACAGCGGCAAGGCGCGGTAAAGAGCGTTTGCCCGGCCATTTAAATTAACAATATTTAATTATTTTATATTAGAGGCATTTCTTAACCGATATCAACGATTTTTTTTATTCAATTTGTAATTGAACTATTTTTTAAAACCATTATTTAAAAACATGCATTTTCCTCATTTTGTAAAATTACATAATTTTGTGGAAGTCGCTTTTTAATGATGCTATAATATATCTATATTTCTTTTTATTTCAATGGTAAAAGATCCAACTTCTTCCACTACTGAATGCATCACCATGATACATATTGTTACCGACTGACTTCACTAGGACAAACTATAATAGTATAAATTTATGTGTTCACACAAAATAAGTTACTTACAAACTAGATAATAGTGGTAATCTTTGGATCCTTATTTAAATTATACATCGAGAGTACTTAGCAATACGTAAACATTTTTATCTTATATAAAAAATATTTGTAAGGAACAAAAATTCTGTAAAACACTGAACGTGATTTTATACATTTGTCAAAGAAGAAAACATTAGCTCTAAAATAGCTGACACTGGTCAGTTAATTAGATAAATATACATCTAACAATAAGAACTACTTTAAGATACTTAGGATGTATAAAATTATATTTCATATCAATTAAACTTTTAGTTACGTAATCGAGGGCGCGATTTTTAAATTCATTGTTGCCAACCGTGGACATATTCGGCGCCAGTGCTCACTTACTGAAATTTAAATTTCGCGCTGGGGATTCAGGTGGTAGCTCTGCTGTAAAAAATGTAAAGTTGCCGCATTTATTTCTTTATTTCCTGACAGTGTCATTCGTATTTGATATACCGGGTGCGTCTCAAAAGTGGCTCACCCCTATAACTTTTTTATTGTTTCAGATAAATAAACGAGATTTGATATGGCGGTGCCATTTAAAAATCAAAAGTTGTAGTCATTTCCGGTGAAACCGGAAGTGACCGAAAACAATTGGATACGTCAATCAATCCTAATTTATGTCATATATACTAACATACCAAATCTCGTTTTTTTAACTAAAAAAATAAAAACGTTATAGGGGTGAGCCACTTTTGGGACGCACCCGGTATAATGATGACGTAACGGTGAACGATGGCTGAACAGTCTTTTTTTACAATTAGTATGCTATTCATTTGCATTTACATATTCCTAAGCCAGAATTCTTTTATTAAATCCGACCCTTTTTCCCCAATCATTATAACCGGAGCATTCGTGTTACCACTAACCAAATTCGGCATTATACTGGCATCTATCACCCGCAATCCTTTAATACCGTAGACTCGAAGTTGGGGATCGACCACCGCCTGTTGGTCCCAATAAGGGCCCATTTTCGCCGTACCAACCGGATGGTAAATGGTGGCAGAATACAGTCTAATCATACACTCGAAGAATTTATCGGTATATCTTCCAAACGGGGTACACTGAGGAAAATCGTGTAGTTTACTTCCATATGTTTGAAAAGCCGGCGTTTGACTCAAAGCCACTCCAATTTTCGCACCTTCTATAAGCGTTTTCATATCGAAATCGTCGAAAAAGTAGTTGGGATAAATTAAAGGAGGATCCAGGGGCTTCTTGCTTCTCAGTCTTATCACGCCTCTACTTCGCGGTCTCAGTAGCATAGGAATAACACTCCAAGCGTCTTGGTTTTCGATGGGCTTGAACACGCGATTATAGAAAGCGTTGGAAAGTCCGTGTGCTTTCTTTAATTGGGATCCATTATCTGAATGCGCAGATCCACTGACGAAATGAAATTCTATGTCAGGAAAGTCGTCGGAAACGTTGGCGTATTTTGTGTTGACAAAGGCCAACCCTTCAACTCCCCCCATGATTGTCAAGGGACCGTCCCCAAACATAGCGTACCGCATTACAGTTCCCACTGAAGACACCCTATCCAGGGTTATAGAGTCCTGTTTGTTTATGAGGAAAGTCAATCCTCCCAATCCTATGTGGTCTTGTAGGTTGTTTCCTACTTGGAGGTCTTGAATGACTGGAATCTTGTGCCGTTCCAGTTCTTTTTTTGGACCGATCCCGGATAACATGAGAATCTGCGGAGAGTTTACAGCTCCTGCCGATAAAATCACTTCTTTGTTTGCTCTAACTCTGTATACTTTACCGTCCCTCAAGAACTCAACACCAAAAGCGATTTTAGTAGTGGGGTCGATAAGGACTCGAGTAACGTGGGAGTGCATTGCGATGTGTAGGTTTGGTCTGAGTCTAACTGGTCTTAGGAAAGCTTTTCCAGTTGAACAGCGCGCGCCACTACGGATGGTGCCTTGAGCCATCATGAATCCAGACTGGAACTCTCCGTTGATGTCTCGGTTTTTGTAGCCCAGTTGTTTGCCGCCTTCAAGAAAAGCAGCTACCTGTAATTAGAAAGATTTTTAATTAAAATACAATTACAGACAAACTATCTATGAAGGTATACCTGGTGCGTCTCAAAAGTGGCTCACCGCAATAACTTATTTTTTTAGAAAAATAAACGAGATTTGGTTTGGTTGTATATGACATACAGTACGTCTGTCCGTTCTTAGCTACGCGGTATCCGTGAGAGGGGAAACGATATTCTCTCGATGTTTTTCGTAAAAAATTAGACGACGCGTCCCATCAATAAAAATTCGACAAATTTGCAAGTGGCCAATAAAATGAGTGGGCGGAGCGATTTGCGGTGACGTACTCGTCAAGTCGACGTATAAAATATATTGCTGTTTATTTAAATGACACAGATCCAGCAGATGTACTGTAAATTATGATTGATTGGCGTATTCAATTGTTTTCGGTCACTTCCTGTTTCACCGGAAATTATTTCAACTTTTGATTTTTAAATTACACCCTCGGTATTTTTTTTACGTTATTCGATCGAAAATGACACTCAGAATAGAATGACATATCATATGTCAACTTTTGACAATTTCGCTTTAAAAAAAATCGTATTTTAAATTTTAATCTAGAGTGCCATGGTTGTGTTAAAAACACTAATTTTTATTCAAGGAGCCTTGGAAAAATAGATTTCATCGTCTAATATTTTTCGTGTCTTGTCTTGGCTGGTCAACAGATGCCCAAATCGTATTTTTAACCATTTCCAAATTTTTTCAAATGGAACGAGGGTGTAGCATTGTTACAAACACTTATATTGAAAACACTTGGATTCGAGTCAAATTATCGTTATGAACCGCATGTTACAATATGAAATAAACTATATGAGAAAATGTCATAAGTTGACATATGATATGTCATTCTAGTCAGAGTGTCATTTTCTATCGAATAAAGTAAAAAAATACCGAGGGTGCCATTTAAAAATCAAAAGTTGTATTCATTTCCGGGAAACAGGAAGAGACAAAAAATAATTGAATACGTCAATTAATCCTTATTTATGTCATATACTAACATACCAAATCTCGTATTTTTATGTGAAAAAGTAAAAAAGTTATAGGGGCAAACCACTTTTGAGACGCACCCGCTATAATATACAGGGTCCGACAAAAGAGCATCGGGCATCTGTAGCTCCTAGAATAAAAAATTTGGAGTGCAAACCTAAAGTATGTACTAGGATGTATTTCAGGAAAATATTTTAACTTCTATAAGGTGGCTCAGAAAAGTGTAACACCCTGTATATTATTGCATTTTTGGCTTCCTTTCAGATCACTTTACATAACCCTAAGATATGAGTAAATATATTTCGATAATTTCAGAGATATTAAAAAACAAATAAAAGATATACTAGATATATATTTTTCAACCTTCCCTAAGAAAATTATTACAAATACAAGAACTGTCCTGAAATCTAAACTATATTAGGTGCTTACTTTAGATGGTCTATACTTACTTTGCTATAAATATCGTAAAAAAATCTCAATTCTATGCCAAATCAAAATTCTAGCCAGACTTTCTAAAATGTAAAATAATTTTTCTTAGTTTTTTTTTTAATGGAACACACTGAATATTATTTTTTATTAGATGGAGAGTTGAAAAATAAACATTTTGTATTTAGAGTATTTCAAAATTTTTAACGGTTTCGCAGATATTCGCAGTTTCATATTTCATATGGCATTTTCCATAGTGAAATTTTATCAAATAAGCCACCCAATGATTTTTCTCTCGGAGAAAGGGAGTCACTTTCCCATGGTTATAAGATAAACCAAGATACGAAGGGGTGTCGAAAAATTCATCAATTTCAAATTCGGCCTGTATTTCAGGAACTAAGAGGGCTAGGACAAATCCCTGTGTAGCATCTCTAGTTCCACAAAAAAATAGCATAGTAATATGAAATCCTCATCTCTGTATCTCATAAACGAGAAACCCTGTAAAACACATGAAAACGGGACATACTGTATACTTACTAGGGGTGTCCTGAACGGTGGTTCCGACACGGTTAGAAAGCCTCCTTTGCCGTGATATGGAGTTTTGGTAAGATACGGGTTTTGATTGTCTTCACTTTTTTTAAAATAATATAAAGTATCTTTAGATCCCCAGCCCGGATTGCCTAAAGATTCCCATATGTCATAGTCCTTTTTGTTTCCCCTCAAGTACAGCATGTAGTTTAGCACTGACGATCCTCCTATAACTTTTCCTCTGGGCCAGTTACATCTCCCGTTGTTCATCGCTAGAGAATAAATTGTACAATTCAATCAGTTAAAATTAGAGTTTAAAAATTACATTTTTATTACTCGTGCGGGGAGAGTAGTATTTTTTCGCATTCTTTTGGAGTCGAAAAGACGCTAATTCCCCACTTCACAATTACCACATTAGTTTTGAGCAAATTTAATGTCGATTTGAGTGCGACAAGTAAACTTCCCGCATCCAAATTTTCATTTGCACACGCAAATTGACAAGCAAAAGAAACAGTCTCGAAGTGTCAATATTAAAGAAGTGAGGTTGACATTTAAATATTTTTTTTATTTTTTGTTTATTTTATTACGTTGCTTTTTAATCTGTATCTTTTGTTATATTTCATCATGTAAACAAATTATTAAACACCATTATGAAGAAACAACGTTAAAATTCCTTCATTTTCTCTCTAAAATTCGATTTAAAAATTTAAGTGAGGTGTTCCCTCATCTATGAGGTGTTCCAAAAGTTGTTTTTCTTGTCACTAGATTTTTAAAGTATTTTTTGTTTTTTAATAAGTCTCTTGTGTTTACATGATGAAATATAACAAAAAAGACATATTAGATAGCAACGTAATAAAAAAAATAGTAAGTGCAACTCGTGCGGAGTTGTCGATTGCCCACGAGAGCGAAGTTGAGCACACGAACGAAGTTGATTTTCCCACTAGTTACACAATATACTATTAAGTATCATTGTAACCATTTACTTTTTTTGTTCACTTATAAATACCGTTTTTTTTTCAGATAAAAAAATTAAATTTAGTATGTTAGTTATGACATAAATTAGGACTAATTGCCTTATTCAGTTGCTTTCGGTCACTTCCTGTTTCACCGGAAATGATTACAACTTTTGATTTTTAAATTTCACCCTCGGTATTTTTTTCTTTATTCGATAAAGGCACTCTGAATAGAATGACTATCATATGTCAACTTTTGGTGTTTTTTGGCGTTTTCGAATAAATTGTAACATGCGGTTCATAACGACAATTTAACTCGAAATACCAAGTGTGTGGTACCAAATTATTCGTAAAAAAAATCCTTTCCAAATATACCAACGAGTAACGAGCCATACTATTGGCGTACATACGAGCCACCCTCATTTGAGAAAATTGAGATATGATTAAAAATACGATTTGGGCATTTTTTAACCGGCCAGGAAAAGACACGAAAAACATTGGACAATCAAATATATTTTTCCAAGGCTCCCTGATTAAAAATGAGTGTTTTTAAGACAGCCATGACACCCTAGATTAAAATTTAAAATTGAATTTTGTTTTAAGCAAAAATATCCAAAGTTGACATATGATGCCATTCTATTCAGAATGTCATTTTCTATCGAATGTGGTGAAACAACACAACAAAAAAAAAATTTCCGGTGAAACAGGAAGTGACCGAAAGCAACTGAATAAGGCAATTAGTCCTAATTTATGTCATAACTAACATACTAAATTTAATTTTTTTATCTGAAAAAAAACGGTATTTATAAGTGAACAAAAAAAGTAAATGGATAGAAAATGACGGTCTTGACGGACAGACAACAAAATGATCCTTTAAGTGTTCCGTTTTTTCTTTTGAGATATGGAACCCTAAAAACACCGAGGGTGCCATTTAAAAATCAAAAGTTGTAGTAATTTCCGGTGAAATAGGAAGGGAGCGAAAACAATTCAATACGTTAATCATTCCAGATTTATGTCATATACTAACGTACCAAATTTCGTTTTTTTATCTGAAAAAATAAAGAAGTTATAGGGGTGAACCACTTCAGGTGAGTCTTAACTAAGTGCATATATTTTCAGGGCTGGTAGATCTCGATAAAAGAATCATATTTTCTCTTTACCGTGTTTCAAATAAGTCTAAAATAAACTAGTTCTTTTACATCGAAAATTAAAAAAAAAATGATTTTTTGTTTAAATTTTGAGAACCATTGGATCTTTTCTAGGTTTTCTTTCTTTTAAATTTAATCTACTAAATATGTTGCCACAGATCAAGAAATTATATTTTCTGACTGGAACTTAAAAAAATCCATTTTTTTAAATAATTCCAAATTTTCAAAAAAAAAATGTTTCGCGAAAAAAAGCCTCATAGAGATATTTCAGGGGTCGGAATATACTACCTCTCAAATATTTGCGCTTATTTAACACATACAAAGTGTTTTGAGAAAGTTAATTTTTGTTATAAGCTTTGATAAAAATTTGAATTTTTTATATAAGTTACCTTGAAAGATCGTGAAACGAACTGTGAATTTTTTTTTTAAATCCACCCCCGAGAAGGGGTGAAATAAATAAATAAAATGATTTTTTCGAAATTTCGAAGTAACGGTAAGGATTGAAAAAAAGTTCAAATAAAAGTTGAAGAGAGTCAAATTTTACATAAAAATGATCTCTATACTTTTTTACTCAAATCACAAAATTAAGCGAGATAGAGTGGCTAGAAGCTAGGGGATGATAGAAATTTAAAATAAATCATAAGTTGCTGAAAAATTCATATATTTAAAATTTGGGTTGAAATTTTCTCGGAAATTATAAATTTCAATTCACATTTTTTTTAAATTCACCCCCAAGAAGTGAAAAATATACAGAGTGATCCGAACTGTATTCCGGAAACTTCGGCACCTTATTCTGCAGATAAAAATGAATAAAAAAGTTCGTATAAATGCATGTCCTAAAATGCTTGCTTTCAGAGATACAGGGTGTAGAATTTTCATTTTTATTTCAATTTTTTCTAAATAATTTCTGAAGTAACGTCAATATTTGGATGAACATTGGTGTCTGGGAGTTTTTTGGCGTGAGAAATTTGATTTTGGTGTCAATATGACTCCTACTAGTAGAAGACAAGGTTTTCCAAATTTCAGAGAAACGGTTCAGAGAAACGGTAAGTACTTTGAAAAAAATGTTTTAATTAAAGCTGTGCCCTAGCTTCTAGCTACCCTATCTCGGTTAATTTTGATTTGAGCCAAAAAAGTATCGAGACCATTTTTATGTGAAATCTGACGCTCTACAACTTTTATTTGAATTTTTTTTCTAATCCTTACGGTTTCTCCGAAATTTCGAAAATAATACCACAGATTAGGTATCCTATAAGTATACAGATAAAAATCTTGTCCCTAATTCGTGGTACGAAAATTGTTTTTTATGACGATGTGCAAACGAGTCAAATTTCTTGTGCGCAAAAATAAACTCGCGTAAAATAACAATAAACAGCGTAATAGAGAGATATCGCTAAACCGAATAGCGTGCATGGATGTTAATAAGGCCAGGTGTTATTTCCTTTACGTAAGGTGGTATTAACTCTCTTCATTTATAGTTATCGGATCGGAAAGAATTCTGATCGCGTAGCGTCCGCTATTTAAACTTAACCTAACTTTGAATTTAAAACTTTGAAATTGTTTTGTTTACTAGGTATTTTAAAACTAAAGGGCTAAAGTGCTTATTTCCAGTGCTTTATTGTTCAACGTCTGCCAATGGGTTTAGGACAACAAGCAACAAATTCTTAGAAGGGCTAAGTCGTCATCTGCTGTAAACCTAAGACTCTTTATAGGTTCTTTAGTATTGGAAGAGGTGGAATCCATATTTTGAGCCATATTTATTTAATTAAAACTAATCCCAGCTACTTAAATATCAAATTACCTAATAAAACTAAAGCAATAATTCAATTAACAATTCAAACATAACCTAAAATAAAAGATCTCGCCGGCCGACTCCGGTTGTCAAATACCCGCACATGCCCATTTAAGCAATTTTTAAACATCATCAGAGGTTATTTAGAAAGAGCTCTTGGTGTAATTGATCCGCAAATTACGTCAGGCGGTAATGTTATTAGCGGGTGTTGCGTTGACCCGCGCATATCGTAACCATAATAAGGTACGCGTAAATACTGGATGACGCTATTCGGTTTTCCGATATCTCTCTAATAACTGTGCCGGTCAGGCACTGTGCACAATTTTAGAGGCCATAAGTGGGCGTGCTATGTGCGCAAACTAGTCACCTAACTAGTGCCCGATTCCGAAAATTGGAACCACGAAAAACAATAAAGAAAAAACAAAGATTATAATCTGTGATAATACTTTATTTATTTATTTCATCCCTTCTCGGGGTTGAATTTAAAAAAATCTTTCACAATTCGTTTTTAGATCTTTCAAAGTAACTTATATCAAAAATTCAAGTTTTTACCAAAACTTCGTATTTGAAGGCCTATTTTATTGGACTATTTACACTACCTAAACATGCTTGCCCCTGTGGTTCACTTTTGTATTTCCAGTCAAGTTGCGATAGCTGTAGATACGCCGCCATTAAGGGAACATCCGATATTTCAGTTTCGTCTCCACCTGCTTCCAAGAGTAGTACTTTCCATTTCTCTATCGCACTAAGCCTATTGGCTACGACCGCCCCTAGGAAGCAATATTTAATATGAGATGTTTTGTTTTATAAAGTAGTTAAAATGTACGGAGCTACCAGCAATGATTGAAATTGTGTATTCCGATTTTCTCCGTTTGGTTAACAATAAATTTAAGTATCCAAAAAAATCCTTATGGGTTTTTCGCCACTGCACTGCAAGAAAAATCTACAAAATAAAATAGTTATTTTTTGTAAACACTTCTGCGTTAAACCTAAACGGACGCTGCTTGCCAGAAGTTGTGTTTACAGTAATAAAAATGTGCCTAACAAAGAAAAAAAATGCTTAACGTTTCGGAAAGTTTTCTCTTTCCGTCGTCGGAAGCAAAAAAATATAAAGAATCAAGAAAAAAACTATTTAAAATATTTAAATTGAACTATTCGAGAACACTTTACTTTTTAAAACAGATACGTCTACAAGAAATCATTGACGTTCTGTTAAAAAGACATTATATTAAGTTAAACTTCAAAATTAACAATTACTACCTGATAATTACTTAATAAGGTAAAACCAAAAAGCCCAAACTTTCTGTATGATTATTTTTAAATTTCACGTATGTTATGTTTATTTATGTAATCTTCTTTAAAATCAAAGAAGCGATTGCCATACATTACTAACATCTACAGATGCATGAGCAATACATTTATTTTTATTAGATTGAATTAAAAAAGCCTCTTTTATTTTTCTTTTAGAGGCTATCGCTTCTTTCATTATAATTTTGGCGTTATTAAAATTTATTCTGTGCCCTGTGTCCCATGAATGCTGACAAATCTTAGATTTGTGAAAATCTCCCTTTCTTAAATAATCTTTCTGTTCTTTAATTCTAACATTTAAGGGTCTAGATGTTTCACCAATGTAAAATGTATCGCATTCACAGGGTATTTGGTATATTACATTTTTATTTTTTTTTATTTGTTAGGCAAATTTTTATTACTGTAAACACAACTTCTGACAAGCAGCGTCCTTTTAGGTTTAACGCCAGAAGTGTTTACAAAAAATAACTATTTTATTTTGTAGATTTTTCTTGCAGTGCAGTGGCGAAAAACCCATAAGGATTTTTTTGGATAGATGAATCCGCCACATAGGTATAGACATTTTTTTAATAAATTTAAGCAAAATCAAACACTTATTCACCACAATATACCAAAACACTTTACTTTTAACATTGGACACGCATTGCTCTAGCCGTTGCTTTAATCGTCAACAGATAATTAGCATGATACAAAGAATACAAGGTATGATATTGCGCAGGTTGGTCACTACGTCACAGGTGATAAACGGCACCATTGGTCGGCAAGCTCCGCGCGCCAATTTCAAATTGTCAAACAGTTGACATAATAAATGTGAAAATAATTTTTCAAATGTCAAGCGCGATGATTTGACATAACTTTTGGGGTTATGTCCTAATTCTTCCCTATTTTAGGTCTTTTTTTTATTAGTGGCAATTGAACAATATGGATATTTTTTTGTATGGCGTACGACGTCACAGGTGGTATACGCAAACTTAACGAAATTGCAGCCGTTATTGATCATACCTTGTTTTCTTTGTACCATGGATAATTAGCTATACGTAGATACTACAAGCCATATTAATTAAACTTTAATCTACGACAATGTCATTGTGACACATTTAATATTGTCATTTGGATGTCATTATGGCTTTCATAATAGCACTAGTGTGCACTAGTGCTATTATGAATTCATAATAACACACAAATTTTAAAATAAGAAACAAGCAAAAAAGGTACCTAAATACGTTTATTTATTGTAAACATTAATTATAATATCGAATCAACAACCTTTTGCGCAATGCCTTTAATATCCGAAGGGACACTTTCAGAATCAGAATCACCCATATTAATATTATTTTTTGCTGTTTGGTAAAACTGAACGTGTAAAGGGGCGTCCAGACCAGATGAGCGAGCAGTAACGAGCGCGAGCAAACATTTATTCAAATTCGCTCGTGATTTCTGCTGCTCTCGAGCACATGATCAGCATCCGTCCAGACCTAGCGATTATTTGTATGTTCAGCGTTGATCGGTGTATGGCACTTCATGTTCATAATGTCGGAAAAAATTATTGCTTGTGCGTCTTTCATTGTATTTTATAAATTGTTGAAACGTCAAAAAAGAAAACGACTGCAGAGGAGATGGTGGAACATAGGTAACTCTTTTTAAAAATCGAGTTTCTCATGGTGGTAATAATTTACTAGACGATGTTGAAACAGAAGATTCTGGAAAATTTAAGAACTTTTGTCGGATGTCACTTACAGATTTTAATACCTTATTAGATTTAATTGACATAAAAGTAATGAAAAGGGATACCAATTACCGAAAAACAATTTCACCTAGAGAAAGGCTAGCTATAACCTTACGGGTCTTGGCGATTTTTGTACTCCTCTATTAGTTCTAAAACAACTTCATTCGGCCATTCCATTTTTGATATTCGATCGCAAACTTGGTAAACAAAATCCCGTCCAAACCGAACGTGCAATAGAGCGAATTTTCTTTGATGTACCGACACGGCGTGGAACAGCGTCGAGCGCGAGCAAGCAATCATTCGCTCGCTCGCAGAGCCGTCCACACCAGTTAAGCGTTCCCATAGAACATACCCGAATTCTTGCTCGCTCCTGTTCGCTCATCCGGTCTGGACGCCCCTTAACACAAAATTGAACATCAATAATTGAGTTGTCAAAGTCAAAATGGAACTAACCTAACCTGATAATTTTGAATTTTAATTTTTATGAGGATATCTCTGATATTTTAAATTAAATCAAATCTCTTTGGATCGTCCCTCGTGTCGCGTCGTAGATTAAATTTTGAATGATACACGTTCGATACGAACTTTTTAATGAAACTTGTGTAACTTGTGTAACTAAGCTTAACTTAACGTTATACGCGTTTCATTATGATGTTCGTAACGAACTTGTATCATTAATAACTATTAGTTACGTAATCGAGGGAGCGATTTTTAAATTCATTGTTGCCAACCATTCCTCTAATAACAATGTAAGCATACACAACGTCAAAATTAATGGTAGTAATCTTCAATTAGTGGAAAAAGTTAACAAACTTTTAACTTTTCCACTAATTATACTTCAAATTTGCGAGGAATGTCATTTTGCCAAAAGTTCAAAAGTTGATTGTTTTATAAGCTAAATATTAATCTTTCTCTATTGACTATCGCAAGCTGTTGCTAGGATATTTTATTAATTTTAATTGTGTTTTTGGACAGTATGAATGATTGTAAACTAAAAAGTATAAAATGTAATGGAAACCACTAATTGCGAGGTTCTGAATAAAGCTTTACCCATTCAGATTTAATTGAAAAGTAGATGATAAAAATTGACATTTAACCCCTCCCCCTTCCTTGAATTTAGTCAAGTAAGAATTGGTCGACAACTAAAGCTACAAAGTAGTGGAATAAATTAATGGTTTCAATAAGCGTAGAGGTGTGTTTCTCTAATACCAATGTAAGCATTGACAACGTCAAAATTAGTGGTAGTAATATTCAATTAGTAGAAAATGTTAACAAACTTTTGACTTTTCCACTAATTATACTTCAAAATTTGGGAAGAATGTCATTTTGGCCTTTGATTATCATCCGTCAAGAGAAATTGTGGTTAGAAGTCAAAAGTTTATTGTTTTATAAGCTAAATATTGTAGACTTTCTCTATGGATACAACTGACTACCCCAAGTTGTTGCTAGGATATTCTATTAATTTTAATTGTGTTTTTCATAGACATTGTGAATGATCGTAAACTAGTGTAAAGTAGGTAAACTTGTGATGAACTTAATTAAGTTTCATTGTGTTGATTATTCACCTACCTGCCGATCCGGAACCAACAACTATAAAGTCGTATCTATCCAACAATTGATCGGTGGGAACGTCAATTGGTCTGTTTTCGGTGTCGAAAAAGTCGTAATTGAGATAGGTGATGGTGGCTACCAAGGTGGATACGAAAACTCCAACGTGGGAGGCTGCCGTTACAGCATCCATAACTGAAAATATTATTTGAGATAATGATTTTTTTATAATATTGATTAATAAGATTAACTTGATTATTGAAAATATTATGCTTAAAAAAATTATATGCAATAGGCAATAAAGTTCTTTTGGGCCATCAAAGAATAATTCTAGGTACTTTCGGTACTTAATAACTAAAAAATAATGTTTTATTGCTGTTGAAATGGCTCTTTTTGAGAAAGGAGTAGATCGTGGTAATTATTTGACTAAAGCATATACGAGCCCTAACAACTATATGTTGGAAAAGCAGTTACTTTGCCAATAAAATACCGAAATTATTTTATTCAAAAATTTTTTAATTGTAAATTTGAAATTAACGTTTTTTATGATGTATGGAATTATTTTTACGGTTTAACTATATATTTTTTGTTGATTACTATTTAAGTTTATTGTTTGATAATCGAAAAATGCTGACAATTAAATATTGGACCATGTTTTACTTTTCCTCGCGTTTCTTGAGTTTTATCAACCTGACGCAAAGGGGGCTTTGAAATGAAACATACGAGTAGGTAGTGTGTTGTCAATAAGAATTGTCACCCGTCATTTGAGTATTAATAATTAACAACTGTCAATTTTATTACCAGTAAAATACAATGGTACGTGGAAAACCTACCGATACAAAAATGCGAGAAATTATTATCCATCAGTACCATAACGGGAAAACAATGCGTGAAATTTCTACTGCATTGACTGTAGCAACAACTACTGTCTTTAATATAATTAAGAAATATGGTGAAACTGCCAGTATTGATGTTTCTCAAAGGAGTGTAAGGCATTTAATTAGAATAGGTAAGTCGGGAAGAAAAAATACACTACGAGAAGTAACCGCAAGATGGAATAGAGAAACTGGGATAAATGTTTCCAGAGAATGTTGTCGCAAATATATCCACAAGAGCGGTCTTAGTTTTTATAAGGTATGCTTGATAGATATTGACTTATATGAGTAGGCCAAAGAAAAACCATTGTTAACGGAAACTCAAAAAAGGAATCGGTACATTTGGGCCAAATCAAAACTTTTGTGGACCAAACATAACAGGGACAAAGTTATCTATAGCGACGAAAGCAGATTTGATGTATGTGTGGGAGATTACCGAGTGCGTGTGATTCGAGAAAAAAAAACAGAAGCATTCCGTAAGAATTGTCTCAAAAGAACTGTAAAGTTTCCACAGGGCATCATGGTATTGTATTGACTAAGAGTGGATCCCAGGTGGGAACCTCCACTGTGGCCGCGAGGGATCATGTTCATACAAAACCGACTGTAGACGACCGAATGTAGACGAACTACAATCGGATGAGATTCTTTTTTCTATGCGGAAATGTGTTGGTACACGGACGGATCCAAAAACGATAAAGGATCTGGCGCAGGAATTTACTGCAGCAGTCCAAAGACGGAGATCTACCAGTCTTGGAAAACACACCACAATTTTCCAAGCTGAGCTATATTCTATTGAAACCTGTGTGCAACTGCTGGTGGAACAGCAATACACCGGGAAAACAATAAGCATATTTTCGGTTGCCACGTTGCCACGTTGAAAGCACTTGAGGCAACGAAAAGCACGTCTATGACGATTCTTCATTGTAAGAAACTATACTCAGTATATTAGGAGATAGGAACAAAGTGTCGCTAATATGAATACCGGGACATGTCGACCTAGAGGGAAATGAACGTGCCGATTCCCTCGCCAAAACTAGTGCAGGCTCGCCATTCGTGGGCCCAGGACCGACACTTAGCGTGCCAAAAAATCTCGCAAGAGACAGGCTCTGTGAATGGGTTAGGGGTGCGACGTTTCGGGACTGGAATGACAGTCCCGGAATGAAACATGTCAAGACAATCCTAGCAGGGCCATCCAAACGTAGAACAGGTGAACTCCTAAAGGCTGGTAGGAATGCAGCGCGTACGCTCACTGCAGTATACACGGGCCACTGCCGGCTGAGATCACACCTACAGAGGATGGGACTGGTGGAAGACGCCGAATGCCGACTCTGTATGGAAGATGACGAAACAATGAAGCACGTTATATGTACCTGTCCCGCTGGGGGAAGGACCAGGTTTGCGGTGCTTGGCAAACCCACGCTAGACCTATCAGACCTAGGAGACATATCACCCTCGGACATAACGGCCTATGTTAAAAGGCTGGGTGAACTTTAATGCTCTTTTTCTATTAAAGAGCTTGTAGAAACTGAGCCACAATAGGCATCATGGTATGGGGTTGTATGTCGGCAAAAGGATTGGGGACTTTACACTTATTATATTATTATATATATTATTGAAGGCACAGGAAATGCAGCCAAATATCAAGATATCCTTGAACATTCGTTTTTACCAAGTGCAGCAAAGTTATATCCATCCAGAGATTTTATCTTTCAACAGGACGGAACCTCATGTCATACGGCTAAATCTACCAAAAAATGGATGGGAGAACATGATATTAAAGTTTTGTCACATCCCTCTAGCAGCCCCGATCTTAATCTAATACAATCCACCCTTTGGTACAAAATGAAACAATGCCTAAGAAATGATCCTCAGCGTACTTTACCACAACTACGTGCTAAATTAAAAATTGCAATAAATTTTCTTTCAAATTAACTTACTCTGCTTTAGAAAAATCATTGGTAACACTTTTTATACACAAATAACTTTAATACAAATTAACATGATCATCCAATGCACGAATGACAATGAAATAAATGTCGCCAATCTATTTTATAACAAAGCAATATTCTTGCAAGATTTTTCGATTAAAAATTCTGTCACATACTTTTTGTGCCACTTTCTATTTCATTATCGGTAATCTACTATCATTGGGGTAATTTATTTTTATATATGTTGCACCGATTTGTACTATATCAAAACAGAAAAAAACTTGGCATTTCATCAGAAAAAAACAGTGTCAAAAACTGACCTCTAGTTACACCCCCTTAAGGGATCCTTTTTTGAAAATGTTTTTTAGTGGTCTTCTTTCAAACTTTGATCTTTAATGTCACCTCTTTGGAGAATGAATCACTTAAAATCGCTTATTGGTGCTCAATTATGACTAAAAGAATATGTATTCAAAATGTCATTCTTCTAAATAAGTTATTATAAGAGGTAGTTTTATACAACCTTTTACTCTAATGTTAGCTCTTTAACCCTTTGTAGGGCAGTACTAATTATTTTCTGGTTTGATAAAGTTGACTTGAAAAATATATAAACTAGCACAAAAAGAGATATCTTCTTTAACATTTTTCAAAAAGTTAACAAATGAGGGAATTGGGGGTAGTGGTCGATTTTTCAACCAGAGACTGTTAAAGCTAATAGATAATATCAACTAACATTAATAATATTAAATAACATTTTTCCGAACCTGAAAATTCAATCACTAACTGTATTTTGAAGCGGAGAATCGATTGAAAAAGTCATTAACTACGATTTCTGGCTATTTATGTTGTATTTTAATACCGAATCTTTAGACGCGTTTTTCTCGGAAGTAATAAAAGTAAGTTAGTGACTTTTGGCAGCAATGGGACGATATGTAATGATCTGATGTATATAATGTATAAACTGTATGTATCATCCAATGTAAGAAAAAAAATAAAATTCATTTTGATTATCTCTGTTAGCTCTCTACTCAAAAATATGCTCATATCAAGTAAATCAAATATTGTTTCATAGGATGCGAAATGATCGCAAATATACAGTATATGTTAACGATTTCAGAAAATATCATCGGAGCCGTAAATTTGGTGCAGTAAATAAAAAGAAATAAACGTCACAGATACATTTGTTTCTATATTTTTAAATTTTTATCACACGAAATTTGCATAGAAAATGCGTAAACGACCATTATTACCTATCTGATACACTGCTAACTCATTGTCACGAATGCTCACTGGTCGAATATTCAACCGCTTACGTTAACTTTTCGCGCCATTCCGCCATTGTATAGATATGGTTGATTAAATGGACAAGGCACGCATAAAAAAAAGCATAGCAGACAAACTGGACGATAACACACCTCCACGCGACTGGTTGGTTAAATTAAAGTGGTCGATTTAGCGACCATCAACCTATAAAGGGTTAAGGGTTGAATTTCCGAAAATCGTCCGAAAATCTTCTTTTCTTTTTTATATACAGAGTGTCCCAGAAATAAGTGCAAGTATTTTAAGGGGTGGTAGATCTCGATAAAAGAAACATATTTTCTCTTTATCATTTTTCAAATAAGTCCAAAATAACGGAGTTATTTTACTTTGAAAATTTCCAAAAAAAATGTTTTTTTGCCAAAATTTTGAGAACCACTGGATCTTTTCTGGCTTTTCTTTCTCGTTAATTTAATCTACTACCTATGTTGCCATATTATCAAGAAATTATTTTTTTTAAATAAAAGCTAAAAAAATTTCCAAAAAAATTCCGAATTTTCAAAAAAAAATTTACAATTACCCCTACATTTTTTTTACCCCTACAATTTTTACCCCTACAAATTTTCACCCTTTAGAGAAAGAATTTGAAGAAATTGCATCTCAGTAATCAACTAAACCACTTAAGGAACCTTCTTGCAAAATTTCTTCATACTTCTGGACCAGTCTAAAAGTATGTAATCTTAGATAATAAAATAATAATCATTATCATCACACACAAATTTCGACATAAAGTTTCACTTCCGATTTCATCCCTTTTGAAATTGAATTTCCAAAAATCGCTTCTTAGTGTTGCACGTAAGGAGCCTACGTGCAAAATCTCATGCCTCTAAAGTCAGTCAGTATTTATATAGTCAATTAGTTCAAGTAAATAATTCAAATGAGAAAGTTAGTCAGCTGAAGTAAATATATAGAAGAATATTATTAAGCTGAAATCAATTGTTTCAACTACTAAATCAGATTTTATTGCACTAGAATTATACCATTAAACTGCTATACTATGATCTAAAAGTCTTTATTCGCTACAAAAGAGTCACAAATTCAGTTTTAAACACGACCTTAATTGCTTTTCAGGTACCGTTCATTGATTGTCCTACTTAGTAATTTTGCTACTAATATGAAATTTATAGAAATCGATGAATTATTTGGAAAAGTCTTAATTTTTCTTTAAGGAAATTTGTTTACCATTTAACAGGAAAGTCAACAAGTCGGTATATACAGGGTGAGTCAAGGGCCAGGCGACTCGCCAGAAACTAAAGTTTTTGAAAAAGATTTGTTCGTGGTATTTTACTTATAACTCAAAAGCTATCAACTTTTTGTAAATAACCCTTCTTTCTATAATTCTTGTTTATATAAATTTTCTCTAAACAAACTGTTTTGGGGCAAGAGCCAGCAAAATTGACAGTTTTAAACTGACCGCTCATCTCTACTACCTAAAGCCTTTATTTGTTATTAATGGGTGATATGCCATAAAATTATATGAGGCAAATATACATTCGCAAGAAGCTGAAGAGGATCCCGATATCCTCATTATCAAAAAAAAAAGCTTATAAATGAAATTAATTTATTAGCAGTAGTGGGAAATGATATCAATCTTTTGGTGATTTTAATTGTTCCGGACTGAATAATCTCTAGTAATATACGGAAAATCAATGACTAAAGAATTCAAGGACAAATAACACCCGAGAGCAAATTGTTACCATGGCACCAAACAGTACCGTGGCCATATTTTTTTCTTAACTTAGCTAGTTGAAGGGACATTTATATTTTTGATAAATGTTTTGACTACGCCTATGGTGTAGGTGGTGGCATCATACTAATTAATTACGAAAAAACGTATTAAAATGTTGACAAAAGGTACAAAACTAGTATAGACGTATAGCACACATCAAGTACATATAACATCAGAAAAATAATTATCGTATTCAATAAGAAAACTTAAGAAAACGCTAAAAAGGTGGAGCGTACTGTTTATTTACCTATGAAACGTAACTCCTGGATCTTTCTTGTCACTGCTGCTTTTACATTTGAAAGCTGAACAACTAATCAGCATTGTAATAAAGTTTATACAAAGTTCACTACACACAAACTATTAAAAATTACTAAAATTATTGTTGGTGACCAGCTGATGACTCATTGTTTGCCACCATAAAAATAGGCGCCTAAGGTCACAAATTTTGCTGCAGCCCGTATAGGGGCGTTACGTGTCCTTATATTCTTTAGTCATTGCGGAAAATGGTAGCAGAATCGTAGAATTTTCTCATTAGAGCAAGACAAAGGAATGCATCCCAAACACTGGCTGATCCTCATTCTGAAGCCGACAAAACTGTATCTGATCATATACTGATTCTGCACGAAATAATTGATTGTGAAAAAGAAAAGAAAACTTTCTTAAATTCTTATAGAAAAAGAATGCAATTGCTTGCAACTAAATACTAATGTTTTCAAAGATCATATGTTGTACTGCCGAAGTTGGTTGCGAATTCTATTTCTTATATACCGGGTGCGTCCCAAAAGTGGCTCACCCCTATAACTTGGTTTATTTTTTCAGATGAAAAAACGAGATTTGGTATGTTAGTATCTATATGACATAAATTGGGATTGATTTAATTGTTTTTGCTCACTTCCTGTTTCCTGTTACACCGGAAATTACTACAACTTTTGATTTTCAAATGGCACCCTCGGTATATATTTCTACTTTATTCGATAGAAAATGACACTCTGAATAGAATGACATATCATATGTCAACTTCCGACATTTTGGTATATAGTTTATTTGAAATTGTAACATGCGGTTTAATGACAATTTGACTCGAAATACCAAGTGTGTGGTACGAAATGATTCGTAAAAAAATGCTTGTTCCAAATATGCTAATGAGCCACCATTGTTCCGTTTGAAAAAATTGAGATATGATTAAAAATACGATTTGACATCTTATAACGAGCCCGGACACAAGCCACGAAAATCATTAGACATTTGATATGTCATTCTATTCAGAGTGTCATTTTCTATCGAATAAAGGAAAAATATACCGGGAGTGCCATTTAAAAATTAAAAGTTGTAGTCATTTCCAGTGAAACTGGAAGTGGGCAAAAACAATTGAATACGTCAATCAATTCTAATTTATGTCATATCCTAACATACCAAATCTCGCTTTTTTATCTAAGAAAATAAAAAAGTCATAGGGGTGAGCCACTTTTGAGACGCACGCGGTATATGGTGTTCGTTCACTAACAGGAAAATCGAGAAATATTAAATAGCTATGTTCAGCACTTACTCAATTTAACTCGGTTATTATTAAATTTCGGTTATTATTGAATATCGTTGGATGTAAAACATATACATTTGAGACATCATCAAGATCTACTAAAGTACATAATGTTAAACATTACATGTGCAAAAAATGGCAAAGAGAGGTGTTATTTCTATTCGAGAAATCATGATAGGAAAATCTTGAGTTAGTTGCCCCAAGTGTACCAAATGGATATCTAAAATCTATCAATCAAATAATATTTAATTACAGATTACAAGTTTTTCAATATTTGAAATTGTTGTAATTTGGATAAAAATGGATATATTGTACAAATTACTAATATGACATCTAATTTTTATTTTAATATTTTAATTTTTGTCATTAAAAATTATTTGGGGTACCTATTAAAATATTCCACGCTTTGGTCTTGGTCTTAGCCTTGTTGCTGCAGAGGCTCTCGCAAGTCTTGCAATCTTTTTTATTGGATCTTTACTAAAGGCACTTTCTACATAGAAAATCTTTAAATAAATAGTATTTTAATGAGTACTTAAAAAACACGAAGCGCGAGTAGCGGGAAGTTAAAAAACTGAAAAAATAATATAGGTATTTTGAATGTTTACCTGGGTTCTTATTTTTTTTCTTGGTTTCCTAACTTTTAAGCTGCTATATTCAAATTATGAGTTTGAGTTTGATCTTTTTTTCAAGGTACACATTTCCAACATAATATACACATTTTTTCATATTCGCGATATTTTCCGATGTTTGTAAAACCGAACAGTTTGTACTTGAACTTGAAATGTCTTTACCGCAGGAAAAGTATTTCGACACTACTTAAGAATGAAGAAATTCTCTCTTTGCTTACGATTGGTGGCAGGAGTACTATCGATGAGAAGGTACGGCCTAACTGTTCTTTTACGGAGGCTAGATGAATAGTACCGAAGAGTATACCGGTACACGTTGAAAGATATTATTTTGAAGCTTGCCGCTTTACGGGTTTAATAATATGTTGTTTTTGTACTATACAGAGTATCCCAGAAATAAGTGTAGATAATTACAGGGGTGGTAGATCTAGTCAAAAGAAATATCTTTTCTCTTTACCATTTTTAAAATAAATTGAAAATAGCCGAGTTATTTGACTTTGAAAATTTTAAAAAATAATGGCAATATTTTGGCGTTATGGACAACCATTGGTTCCATGGCGATGTTGTTCTAATAAATGATTGGTTCCATGGCGATCGCGATAACCAGCTATTAAGATGTTTTCAAGAGGTCTTTCAGTTTATTCGACGCCCTGTGGTTCCAGATAGTCAAAAGAAGTATATGCTATTGAAATCTGAAATCCCTGAAATGAGTTATTGTATGTCGTTCGTATACGGTTTATTTGTCTGATTTTGTCGATGTTCCGAATAGTGAATTCCTATAAACATGCTGGTATTTTATTTTATGTGATCTCAGTATGAATAATATGATGAATTATTTTATTAAATTTAGTTCTAAAATAAAGTTATTTTGCGGTATAACCATGATTTTTTTAAACCTCATAAAAATAATTTTACCCAGTTGGTTCTCAATGAAAGGGTAAGTACAAACGAAATTTTTAAAAACATGTTTTTTTATTGAAACTACGTCGTAATATGACAATGTTAGACACCTCCTTAACAGCACTTAAGGGACATAAAGGGCCATTACTACCGCTTTCCCACCCAAATATTCTAATAAAGTTGCGATGAGTTTTTTACGGCTATTAATCTATCTTGTACACTTCGCACTAAAAGAGGTTCTAAAATGAACAGTGTTCCACTGCAAGGTCTGTTGGTAAAATTTTTTAAACTTAAAAGTGTCACGACACAATTCATTTAAACCAAAAAATCAATAAATTTAAAGTAATACAATAAATATAAAAAATTCTCTTATAAGTATATTATAAAAACAACTTAATCAGAAAATAAAAAATTGATTTACACTCTAATTATGTAAAAAAAATTGCACGTCACAAATTTTTAACCGTTAATTATAAATAGGAAAATAAACAGTTACTACATAATTTATGCAAATTCTATTTAAATTTAAAGAACTAAAACTAACGGAGTTAATAGCCAAATCATAAATGGTTATTAGAGAAATTAGCGATGAGGAATTTCACGACTAGACCAAGATAGTGATGAGCAAACGTCAAATACCAAGACCAAGATAAAGACTCGGTTGGTCTTGGTCTTGGTTTTGATCTTGCAGGCTCTAGTTTTAGTGTTGCTCTTAGTCTCTTATTTTAATCTTACCGTAATAGGAAAAAAGGAAATTGGTAATACAAAAAGATTTATATTAACATTAAAAAATAGGTACTTAAACTGAATTTTGGCTGTCTTGACGGTAATTATTTTGACTTAAGTCATTTTGCCGACTTAAGGTGGCTGCAACGACACACAGTGGGGTATTTGACACTGATAGTTGATCGAAATTTTTTTATGTAGACCTTATATAAATTATTGCTATTTTCAATTAAAGAGGAAATTATATGAATAATTCGTTCAATCTTTGCCCACCTCGACTATAAAGGAACTGAATGTTTTGGATATAAAGAACTATATTTATTTTTTTAAATAGGCGAGTCATCTCAATATATTTTTTCTTTTTCCAGGTGGATGTTGCGGTTCCACCAAACGAGTTACCACAGTGGGCGGCTGGTCGTGGGCCTGGTGGCTGGTCACCGATGTTCAGCGATTATCTCTAGAAGTGATGACACTAAATCCTCAATGCGATAGTGTCGAAACGTCTCAAGGGGTACCGCTGAGCGTTACCGGTGTTGCCCAGTGCAAAATTATGAAGGCCGACGAATTATTGCACACTGCCAGCGAACAATTTCTGGGAAAAACTGTGAAGGAAATTAAAATGACCGTTTTGCAAACCTTGGAAGGTCACTTGAGGGCTATATTAGGTGAGTGCATTAAATATAAGTAATACACCTTAAGACTAGTCATCATCATCATCATTTTCAGCTTATTCAACCATTTCCAATTATGGTGTCGCCTCCCTCACATACTGTCTTTGTAGTTGGGCCCATTGTTGTCTATGGTTAGCTATGCTGGCCCAAGTTATCCCTGCTAATTTCCTAATATCATGGTCCCATCTCAGGTTCGGTCTTCTAAGTCTCTTAATTCCTCGTGGGTACCATGCTGTAATTTTTGTGGTCCATTTGTTATCTATTGTCCGTTCTTCCTGCCAGGTGTCCTGCCATTGCCATTTGAGGGATTTGACTCTGTAGATGACATTACATGGGTCTTTTGTCGTATCCCACTCTATTCTTTTACGGTCTCAATTGGTTATTCCCAGCATATTTCGTTCTGTTGAGCGTTGTGCGACCTGCAGTTTCCTTATGATCTCCGTTTTAAGTGTCTAGGCACGCATAGGTCAAGTCTGGTAGTACACATTGGTCGAACGTTTTTTTTCCTCTAGATAAAGTGGCATTCTAGATTTGAATATGATTGGGTTTCTTCCATAAGTACTCCATGCTAACTTTATTCTTCTGTTGATTTCTTGTAATAGAGATCCTGAGCTGTGTATTAGCAAATAGGACTATGTCATCAGCGAATCTTAGATGGTTAAGATATTCTCCCTCTATTTTTAATCCTGTGTTGGTCCAGTCTAGTTGACGGAAGATTTCTTCTAATGTTACTATAAACAGCTTTGGGGATATCGCGTCTCCCTGTTGTATTCCCTTGCCAGTTGGGAACTCTGGGGTTGCAGAAAAAATGCGTTCCTCATAAAAATTTTTGCTTGTTCTAAAATGGTTAATCCCTTTTATACTTTTCCAAATTCCCATACAATTTTAGAGAAAATCAGGAAAAAAACATGAAAATATAGTTGAATTTTTTCTAAAAATAAAAAGTATGTTAATATAATTCTATGTTATAACTATGGTAATATAATTTCGATTTCATTCTTTGATCACTAGAGCTGGTTAAAAAAAATTGGTTTTAAATGAAACACTTTTGTATTTAAATGGTTGTAACTAAGAAAAAAACTAAAAGTTTTGAAAAATGTCTCATTTTTACACCACTTGATCCTAAGTAACTTTTCTTTCAGGAACTCTTACAGTGGAAGAAGTGTACCGGGATCGAGACCAGTTTGCAGCCTTAGTTCGGGAGGTAGCCGCGCCCGATGTAGGTCGCATGGGCATCGAGATTTTATCTTTCACTATCAAGGACGTTTATGACGACGTACAATACCTCGCATCCCTGGGGAAGGCGCAAACTGCCATGGTGAGAAGAGATGCTGACACGGGCGTTGCCGAGGCTAATAGGGACGCTGGTATAAGGGTTAGTATTAATTTACCTCATTGCGTTAGTTCTATAATTAGTTACAAATCTATTACACCCTCTACACTATGCGCGAAGTAGGTTAAAGTATATCAAGGTCCGGTGTTTCCTCGTCTAACCTAGTTGTATCGTCTCGGCTTGTCTCCGCTTGTTTCTAGTGATTCCCACGAGACCAACGAGACGAAACTTTCATAAAGTCTTGTCTCGCCGATAAAATATGAAGTCTCGTATCGAGTCTCGCCTCGGAGCCTCCAGTCTCGTCTCGTCTCGCGTCTCGTACGAGAGTCTCGTGAAAGTATCGAAATTTCGTCATGTATAATCCTTGTTCCAGTCCAGTACGGGATATGTATTTATTATTTGTACAAAATCTAATTGATGAAAATAGACTTTACAAATATCTTGAAATTTCTGAATCGACTTATCTTTTAATTCTTGGCCCCATTTTGTCATATCAAACGTTTCTAACTTATGACGTGGGTCGAGAATTAAAACTGCAGCATAAATCCAGTTTGTTTTACGATAATGCTTTAGTATTTTGTCTCTCGCAGCCTGAAAACCAACAATAAGCTGCTCTTCGACAGGGGTTCGATTTGTTTTCCTGTCCCATTCAAATATTTTGCTCTCAAGATTATCTATTAGTATATATTGATACATACAACCACCATAGGTAAGGTGACGTACTTCTCTCCTCCAAGTTTTTTGGAAAGTATTTGAAAGTTGATTAATAATTTGTGCACTTCTTCTAGCAGTATCCATTCTTCATTTCTAAGAGCATATGGTTTTAAATCAACAACATTTTGACATAATACACCGAGTCCATGTCTTCCTTTAAGAGCTACTTGCAACATATCATCACTGGAATTCCAGCCTGTAGGTACATCCAACACAGGTGTCAGTTGCCGAGAATTACCAATTGCTTCACACGCACTTCGGAACTTAAGTAAAAGTTGGTTTTTAAGCAAAGGTTTTTCAAGTGTTCACCTGCGAGACTCTCGTACGAGGCACGAGAAGTCTCGCACGAGACTCGAGACGAGACCAATAAAATTTTCGTCTCGTATTGTCCGACTATCGTCTCGAGTCTCGTCTCGAAAACGAGACGAGACCATACGAGACTCTCGAAAACGAGACTCTCGTGGGAATCACTACTTGTTTCGTCATATTTTTATTTCTTTTTTTTAAACTCCTCGAAACTACTTGTGAAATTGCGGAGAAGGGCGTGGAGAGATTTTTCTGAGTGTTTTATTCATTCTCACATTATTAATTACAATATAGTAAAAAATATATTTCCAAAACTTAAAATCGTAAAACTGCAGGGTAATACGCAGTGACTAACTGTTCCGGCGGTCCGCCTTTTATAGATTATAATCCACGGTGTTAAACTATTTAAAAAATTGGCTAATTATTTCTTATTTTTGAATGGATTTACATCAAATCCTATTATATGTAAAAGTATCTTTTATTGACATCGGATCAATCAATAATTTTCCCAATCAGATCGATATGTTGGTGATGTTGCCAGTATTCAAGCTCATCAAGCAATACTACTGTTATATTAATCAATTAAGGCCGCGTAAACAAATATAACATATACAATTTTATATACTAATGCCACTATAATAAAATTAAATAATAAACATATTGTAATTATATTCCTGCAGATTGTAATTAACGAAATATAATCGTAACAACAGCTATTTTAGGAACGTCTAGGTTTACATATTTCACTGAGATTTATGAAAAAAAGTCCTTTGCCTCGGGTACAGATACCGCCACGTTTTGGAAGTAGCTCAAAACGACACAAAATTGAATGAGACAACAGGAAACGCCAAAAAATCCCCCGCGCCCTCCTTATGAGTAGTTTTCAGGCGCTTTTAAAAATCGAAAGTGGAACTGGAACTAAACCGAAATGCGACAAAGTTGGGCGACGAAACGCGACCTTGACCTGCTTCGAAGAGTTCTCCGCATAGTATAAAGGCTGTTTAAAATGTTTGTCGTAAACGAATTGCAGTAAGCAGTCATGCAATCGGTATTGAACTACACGCCGCCACTGCTTTGGATACGTCTCTAATATAAATTTTATTTTTAGGAAGCGGAATGTCAAAAATCTGCGATGGATATTAAATATTCTACCGACACAAAAATTGAAGATAATTCTCGAATGTTTAAGCTGCAGAAGGCAAATTTTGACCAAGAAATTAATACTGCCGTAAGTATACCGTATTTAATAGCCATAAAACACCAAAATACTTTTTTAACACTCCCGCAGCCGCGGGTTTGCCGACTATCAGAGCTAGAAGAAATAGTATCGTACAGGGTGATGCACACACATTTTTGCATTCAGGCATCTGCCCCATCTAAATTATTTTCAGAGTTACAGTGTTTCCGCTTCATACTAAAAATCGTAGCAACTTTGTTAATTTAAATAGAACACCCGGTATATTTTACCATTTCTGTAAACTACTTTCATATTTCATAATGTTTCTATTGTACTAACCTATATCTTTAATAGTTTTCGAGATAAAAAATAAAACATATGTAAAATTGACAAGAGCTTGATCTCGAATTGGATAAATCATAACTTCGGCATATTGAAAGCTGAACTTTCGTTTAGGTTAAAGAAAGTCGGCATATTCGATCTGAATGAATAATACATATTTTCATATTTGCAGAAAGCGCAAGCGCAGTTGGCTTACGAACTACAAGCGGCCAAGATTAGACAAAAAATACGTAACGAAGAAATTCAGATTGAAGTTGTCGAAAGAAAGAAGCAAATCGAAATTGAAACTCAGGAAGTGCTTAGGAAAGAACGAGAACTAAATGCTACTGTCAGACTTCCGGCTGAAGCTGAGAGCTTCAAAGTGCAGATGTTGGCAGAGGGAAAAAGGTATTCATCTTGTTATAAGTTTACTAGTACCCCAGTCAAATTAGTTCAAAAAAGGCCCATCGGTTGAAGAAATTCCCCCAATTTTGAAAATTGTTTTAAATGGTTCCTCTAGACTTGGGCCGATATGTGTCAAAAGTCCCCGAAGATAGACGATAAGCTCGAGGAGGGGGGAGTAGTTCAATGTCATTGTTTTTTACTTTTTCGCTTCTATCTTGGAAACTATGATATCTACTGAAAAACACTGAAATTCTCTATAAAATTGATTCTATACTTTTTTGTTCCCCGACTTATGGTTTCCGAACTACACCCTTTATAAATTAGATTCCTAAATCAAATGACATATTCCAAATCCGTATAAACACATTTCTTTTCATTGCATGTTTTTCGTCGAAATATAGAATGTTCAGCCATGATTCAACGTCACGTCATATATTGTCGAACTCTCTCTCTTTCACTTAACAAGGTGAAAGAGATTGGTGAAGTCATTACGGCATTTCGTAAATTACTGCATATTGTTTTTAGTAACTGTCATTGTCATTGGGCCGTCAGACAATTTTTAATTTTAACTTTTTGGTTTTTAATCTGAAATTCAATTTTTTTATTATTAAAATGCGTTGCCGATTTAGCGATAATGATAAGTTCTCATCGCAACATTATACATATTATTATTTAGTACATATAATGTAATATATTTATTTATTTATTGTAGAACGCAAACTGTCCAGAAAGCTCAAGCTGAGAGCGAGAAGATTAAACTGATTGGAGCTGCCGAAGCATCAGCCATATCTAACATAGGTAAAGCAGATGCTGAACGAATGAAAATGAAAGCTGCAGTTTATAAGCAATATGGCGACGCAGCTATTATGAGCATTGTTCTTGAAGCACTACCGAAGGTTAGTATCTAGAAAAAATTGAATATAAATTGACTCCCTCTGGCTTTATTCCTACAAGAAGAATGTTGTGATGATCAAGTGATGTGTGCGTAGTTTGTAATTTATCTCCGTAAGTCCCTGTCTTATATGTCTAATATAGGGAATGCAATCCCGCAAATGCTGGACCCGCAAATGCGGGATCCCTCTGAGATTCCACGGGATCGAAGTTGCGGGATTTATCGTGCGGGATCCGCGGGATTGACACATTACTACTAGGTAACCGAATCGATCTCGATAAAGGTCAAACCCCTTCATTCTGGGCCGAAGAGTCGACGCTCGGAACCCGGGGGACCCATTTAACTAGTACTTGTGGACAATTTCGTCAAATAAACTGCCGGACATAATTATCGGGACAAGCAAAATTTTAGGGTAAATTTAAAGTTGAATATCTCTTGAACTAAAAAAGATTTTGGGATGCGGTTTGGCCCAGGTTTTAGATGTGTCTATTGTGATTAAGATGCTATGTGGTTTTCGAAAATATATTTAGCGAATTCGCGTATACAGGGTGTTTTATAAGAGAGTGAAAATTTGGTTAAGAATCTTTTTTACCGCTAATTTACGAGTTTTAAAAAATCGAAATTTTTACCAAGTACGACTAATCTGTATTGAAATTAGAAAAAAACAATTTGATCGGTATTTTAATTTTTTTTGTTTTAAGGAAAATTGACTTTTTTTCGAAAAATATGCATTTTTAGTCATATGTATGGTCCTAAGTGGTACAAAAAGCTTTGTACATTCTGCATATGCCAAAAAATTATTGATATAGAGTGTATCTAAAAGCAGATAACTAACATAAGTTAAAAAAAACTTCAACATCAAAATATTTTTATTTATAAAATAAGTAGATAAATTATAACAAAATTTAAGCTTATTTAATATTAAATATATTTTTGAACACCCTGTATAAATCGGTCCAAATTTCTGTACAGCTAGTTTAAGATACACGCTATATCAATATATTGTGGGCCTATGCAAAATGTACAATGCCTTTGGACCATTTAGGACCAAATGTATGACTATTGTTTACAGTGCCGCAATTTTGCGGATCCGCGGGATTGATTGCTTTAATCCCGCGGGTATGCGGGATTGAGATTTTGGTGCGGGATTGCATTCCCTAGTCTAATATGACTTAAACTTATGTTTTTGAAGTGAAACTTCTTTATGCGCACTAGGAGTAAAAAATCAAGGCATATTTTAGAAGAAGTTTTTCTCCAAAAAATCCTATATGGGTATTTGCCACTGCAAAACAATCTACAAAATAAAATAGTTATTTTTTGTAAACTCTTCTGCGTTAATCCCAAACGGAAACTACTTGGTAGAAGTTGGTTTACAGATATACAAATTTGCCTAAGGAACAAAAAATGCTTAACGTTTCGGAAAGTTTATCTCTTTCTGTCGTCGGAAGAAAAAAAAATACAAAGAATAAAGAAAAAAAAACATTTTTCTTTCAGGCAAATTTGTATATCTGTAAACCTAACTTCTAACAAGTAGTTTCCGTTTGGGATTAACGCAGAAGTGTTTACAAAAATAACTATTTTATTTTGAAGATTTTCTTGCGGTGGCGAATTACCCATATAGGATTTCGTGGAGACATGAATCCGCCACATAGGTATAGACATTTTTTAACAAAGTTTTTATGTAAATTAAATATTTATAATATAACCAGCAATGTTTGATACTCCTGTATATATTTAAGGAAGCAATCAATTTTTTTAGTAAACATCTTTTTTATTATAGCATGCATTTTTAAATATCTTTAAATATCTTAAAAACCAAAATGTGTAAACATATTTAACCCTTATAATAAATGCTTTATTTTATGTCCAAGGATTCAAAAATGAAATAAAATACCAGGTATCCCATAAGAAAAACTATAACTTTGGTATGGATCTTAGTTCTGACACACCATAGACATTTCAAAATCATTTTAAAGTACGCACATTGCCTTCTCACAGATGCCTATAAAATATTTTGTTTCCATATCTTTCCGTTTATGTATAATTAACCGAGGCGAACGAGGCCATAGAGCAAATAAACGGTACAAAAAAATATGTACACATGTTGGAAGTATTTTGATGGGTTAATATGATAAAGTGATAAGAATTTTATTTGCTGGGGAACAATAAAACTCAATATTTCGTGTCACGTCATTTTTTTCAGACACAATAGAGAGATAGCAGATAATCGTCTTGCAGAAATAAGAAATAAAAATATACTTCTGGAGATAGCAACCTTTATTGTTCGAAATTTTGAAAGTGGAAATGAATATTACCCAAACAGATTTATAAATAATCAATTAAATTTAAAAAATATGATATTCATAACCATATATTTATAATATCGTCGGTCTAGAAACAAAACATACAAGTCCAAAAACGAATAAATTTTTAATGAAAATTTAAAAATTTTTTGCATTTTTAAAGAACTGAAGTAGCAGAATTTTGGACTTAATGAATATGAAAATAATTTAAAAATTAAACTTATAATTCTTAGAAGATATGGTAGAATCAAAGACATTATAAAGATAGACCGAACATCTCATTCATAAATACTCGTTGGTAGTGTATCAAACATTCCAATGTGTCAAACAAGGACAGAAGAGACAGAGAAGTCTAAAATTTCCGACCCCGGCAACTAGGCGCATTTGGGATTGTTCTAATGGCCAGTGGCGTATCGTTTTTTGGAACGAATTAAATTAGTAATGTAAAAGTAATTAGTAAAATTTTTACTCCATTTTCAAACCAAAGTTGTAGATTTGCCATTAAATTTCCATTCCAGAAATACCTAGGGTTGCTACTTGTCCTTTTTTGAAAAGGACCGTCCTTTTTTGGAATAACTTATCCTTTTGGCTTTTTTTAACTTAAAAAGTCATTTTTATTTACGTATTTTCCCTGAGAAAATTACCTACAGCAAACAGAAATATTCTTTTCGCCCAAATTTAATTAGGAATGTTATAAAACTTAACTTATAAATAAATTTTTCTTGTTTAGAATAGGCAACATTATTTAGAACTTCCCGTTTAATCTCAAATGATCGTTTAGGTTTTAGTTTTACCTTTTTTTATCTTAAAAAGAACTTTTCAAAATTAGTACCTAATTAGTAACGATTTAGTTAGTTCGCAATCGATAGCTTCCTGTGAAGTACTGTATAATAGTTGTTTAATCTTGTATTATTAATAACTTCCTATACCTAAAATCAATATTTAATGAGAAAATTGTGTTTTTTTTTGAAAATATAAGACAATATTTGACTTTCGGTCTTCTTCTTGTATTATGATGGCTCTGATACGAGGCAATTGCCTTTTAGTCTCGCAATAGAAGACATTTATCATTAAAATTATAAAATCTGTGTGCTACAGTATGGGATTTCTGTCGCATAATAATAAATACCTATTACGTTTATTTACAAATCCATTACTTTTAAAGGTAGCTTCATCAGATAATCAAATTTTAGTTAAATGTCCTAATCTTCATGAACTGTATTAAGCATATGTATTGCGGTTTGAATCACCCTGTATGTTGACAAAAAAATTTTGAAAATGTGCGTTACAATGGCCCCCATCTTATGTAAAAAATTGAAATAAAAATCACAAACCAAAAACGTAATAGGTAAAAAGCTTTTTTTGATATAGATATGTATAAAACTAGTAGCCTAAGAATTATTTACAGCTCGTCCCATTCTAAAAAAAGTTAAACACACCGTACAAATAACTCTGGGAAGATGTATTTGTACGGTGGTAAAAAATTGTCTAAACAAGGCCGAAGGGGCAGATATAATAAAGCTAATAAAATGTAAAAAAGGTCGGGTAAACACCTTTGTTTATTTATTAAGCAAAATTCCTTTAGAATATCGTATATAATGACCAAAATAAGACGCAATTTTAAGAAAAAATGTCACTTTCTGGCTTATAATAAAGTTTCAAATATAACGTTTATATTCAAAATTTTTATGATCTACAACAGTTAGGTAGTAATTGAGACGAATTATAATTCAATTACCGGCTACTACGTTCTTGTTTTAATAGATCAAAATTCAACAAATATAATTAGAAATTATTTTAATTGTGAAAGGCTCCCTTTGTGGGCGGAAACAATACCTACCTGTGAAACAATACCTACCTGTGAAAAGACAAATTCGGGTAATTTGAGCTTATTTGTCCACACATTTGGCACTGTCGTACCATATTGAAAATTCGCAGATTCAAAAGTACATTAAACAAAAACAAAAACTACTGAAAAACACTGAAAGTTCACTTCGGACTTGATTCCGACTTCAAACACACCGTAATCTAAACGTAGTACGCTATAACGGACCATAGGCCGTCGCGAGGGGTGGAGGGACGGACGGCTCATTTCATTCTGCAAGACTAGCAGCGACGTTGCCAGTAGTTCTAGACGTTTCAGCACATTAAACAGTAAACATGTCTTTTAATAGTAACGCATATATCCTCTGGTTAATAACATATTATTACGCATGCTTCTTTAATAAAAAAAAAATTCTTAAATAAACTATTAATTTAATTAAGAAATTGAGATTTATTGATATCCGGTGAAGGTTTTAAAGTCACCTTTTCTGCAAATCAAACTAAGTAGATAGGCGCAAATTTGATATGTGGCAATGTCGCCTTCTCTATCTCAGTTGATTTTTACAGTACGTAGTCAACCTCCGAATGTTTGATCGGGTTAAAACGCATAATGTGATATCTGTTCTTCCTAAATCTATGGGTAGAATCCTTCCATGCTTATCCTAATTTTTATACAACGGTAGTAGATCGAGCTTGGAAGACAGTGCGTGATTTTATTAAATTTTTATTACTTTTCTCCTTATTTTTTTAATTTTTATAAAAATTATGTATCATTTACGTGAAAATACGTTGAAAAAATAAAACTGATTAGATATTATGGAAATTCTTGTACAAGTAAGTAATGTTATTTAAACTATTTATAGCACGCCGATGAATTGCTCGTATATAGAGAATTTCGTTTTTCTCCTTACCCTTTACGGATACCCCGTATTTACAGAACGGATCGTCGCAGGGTCGGACTGGCCATATTTTATAGATAACTATTAGGGGGGGCCCTTTATAGTTCATTAATAATTAATGAGAATTAAGAATAATTATTATTCTTAACAATATTTGCTTTTGCATTGCATTATGGAATTTGCATTGCATTGGTTTACCTTGCATTAGGGTAGTTCCCTGATTTCTATACAGGGTGAGTCTTAAATAAGTGCAAATATGTGCAGGGCTGGTAAATCTCGATAAAAGAAACATAATATTTTCTCTTTACCGAGTTATTTCACTTTTAAAATTTCCAATTTTTTACTATAATTTTGAGAAGCATTGGATTTTCTTTCTTGTAAATTTAATCTACTACCTATGTTACCCTATTACAAACAAAGTATGTTTTTAAACTAAAAAATAAAAAAAAATCCATTTTTTTTTTTTTTCAAAATTCCAAATTTTCAAAAAAAAATGTTCGCGCAAGAAACCTCATAATCGTGTTTCTTGGGTCGAAATATACTACCCTAAAAATATTTGCACTTATTTAAGACTCACCCTGCATATAATAGGGAAAAATTGACCAAAACGTAAGGCGAAAAAATACGCCAAAAAACACACTAGCCCCTCCTTACATTGCCACCCGGGCCCCTTTGGCCTAGTGCGACCCTGGAACGACGTACTGTACTAAAAAAACATACGACTAAGAATCTGTGTGTTTGCTTTAGGGTGATCGTAACGAAAATTACGGAGATAGCAGCATTTCGGTGGCTATTTCAGATCACTAGGAGTTAGCAGATATTATTGAGTTTAAATAAAAAAATTTCTTTAATGGGAAAAAATATGTTTGCTTTCCCTACCTATAGAGTATTTTTTTCTCTTTCTAATGGTATGAAAAACTTATTAACGTAAAAAATGGAGTTAGTAGGTTATCACGTTTCACTGACGATATGCAGTTTTAATTAATGCCTTATTGCTTATTTCAGATTGCCGCCGAAATATCCGCTCCTCTAGCCAAAACAGAAGAAATCGTGCTCATTGGTGGAAAAGAAACGACGACAGGAGAAATCGCCCGTTTGATTGGACAGATTCCGCCCGCGGTGAATGCTCTCACGGGCGTCGATCTTTCTCAAGTGTTGGGTAAAATCCCCGGAGCGACTCAAAATACTGTCGCTCCAGTTAAATAACGTGTCTGTGTTGGTAAATGGAACAATATTCCAATTACAATAAATATTATAATAGATCATACCAAATAAACTTTTAGTCACGTGATTAAGCTTGACCGGCACAGCGTTGTCCACTTTTACATATTTTCTTTTGATCAAAATATTTTAGGAAACAAAAATAAATTAATTATAAATATATAAACAGTTATTATTTACTCTATAACAGCACTTAAGAGACAAAAAGGGCAATTATTACCGCTTTCCCGTTCAAAATATTCTAAGAAGGTTGCGATTATTAAACTGCTTCGGCATCTTGTACACTTCGCACTACAAGCGGTTCTAAAAGGAACAATTTTCGACTGCAATGTCTGCTAGTAAAAAATGTTTGGCTTAAAGTATTACAATTCATTTAAACCGAAAACTCGTAATACAAAACTAAAGTGTCAAAACAAATCAAAATGTCAGGAAATAAATAAATGTGGCAAATTGGCATTTTTTACAGCAGAGCTACCACCTGAATCGCCAGCGGGAAATTTAAATTCCAATTAGTCAGTCCGGTGCCGAATATGGCTCTGTTCCCAGAAGAATCCCTGACTAGTCAGCGCATTTCTCATTGGTTGAAATGTGTAGAAACCAGACTAACAATCAGGTTTCTAGACATTTTAACCAATGAGAAACGTGCTGACTAGTCTGGGATTCTTCTGGGAACAGACCTTATGTCGATGGTTAATATTCGCGCCCTGGATGACGTAACTAAAAGTTTATTTGGTATCGATTATATAAATGTTGTTCTCTGTATTATTATTCTTTAAATGCATTGTGTGTTTGTTTTATAATGTAGTACAGTTTTATAATGGGTTTGTCATTTATAATAAATATGTGTTTAATCATAGTGTTTTTAGTGATCCCTTCTCTTATTAAAAATAGTGGTATAGTCTATAAAATGAATATCTTTGTATTTTGACCGTTATTTTTTACCAACATGGCAAATATAAAATCCCTCTGTCAAAAAGTTACTGATATTCTTTAAATTGAGTGCCTGAACGAATCAGGTAGGTAACTCTTTTACTTTCGTGAAATAGAAAAGGAAAATAATAAAACAAGTGACAGTTCTTCCTCTTCTTGCAAAAATCAACATGAAATGTCATAATTGTCAAAAGTAAAATGACATTTCTAAATATCAGACAACAAAGAAAAATGCATGGCCGCAAGTTGCTAACCTAATAAAATTAACACTAGAAAAGCCCGCGGGAACAATCAAATTCAAAGTTATTCGTTTCACAGACTATACTAGGCAAAACTGTATTTTTTTTACAGTTGAAACTGTTACTGTTAAGGTACATTCAGGCTGAGTCAATTCACTCTTTGAATAAGAAGACTAAGAAAGGAGCATAATGCTATCCATGTATTCATGCATGGTGGGCGGAAAAAGCACTCTAGGGTGGGGATCCTTGACAGTTCTGTTTGACGATTCATTTGACACATTTGAATTTGATTTGAAATTTTATGGATTTGTCAGTCTGTACGGAGCTTATTTTATGTTATTTATTATTTATTCTACTACTGATAGTTGTATAAAGGTAGTAAATCTAGATGGAAATTGTGGCAGAACTTAAATTAACAGTGACACTATCGCGATTTATCGAAAGACTCTAAAATAGTTGGTTGTGTAGCATGCGGTAGATCTCGGCATAAATCGAGTGAAATAATGGAACAACTTTTCGCTAGTAAGTGACTATATAATATACATACGTGTAGTAAACCGATCATTTATGAAATTTACTTAAATTAACTAATTATATATTTTTTCTTGCATTTTTGCTTTTATTTACTACTTGTCAAATATTAGATGTCAAAGAATTTAGATACGTCAATTTGATTTACCAGATTTACCTGCTTCAGTAGCGTATCGGATGTTTGTGTTAATAAATAATTATTATAACTTATCTATTTTTATAAGAATTATATATTTTTGTAACAATTTTAATAACTACCAACATTTATTCACAACGTCAAATAAAACAACATATTATTGAGTCTACCCCACGTCTACCCTACATCATAGTTTTACATTTTTTAAATAAAATTAGAACGGCACTGATAAACCGGAATTTAAGTCGGCCATATTTGAGGCCTATCGCGGTGGACCTAAGATTTTTGATATGCTCCTTCCTTAGTCTTCTTATTCAAAGAATTCACTTAACTTAAATTAGACCGTTCAGGCAGACAGTGTTGCGCTAGCGTCCGCTGAGCGTCGGGGTTCGAGTTCAATGGGGCGGACGCGACGCGACGCTCGACGCTCTCAGCCTGAATGTACCTTTACTTATACATACAGGCAGGGTCGGACTGTCTTAGGACAGTACTACGTGTAAAATAGTTCATTATTTATTCATGGCAAAAATATATTGTAATAAACCTCACATTTGTAGAAAACTGCTACATTTTGCGTCCAATATAGTACTAGGCATCACGTTGTAGCTTTTATTTCTATTACAATATCTCCAAAATAGTTAAATATGCTTGATTTTATATAAAAATAGCGAACTAGTGTCTGGTGGTAATAATGCTCACAATTTGTGTCAGAGAATATTCAATATTTTAATACCCTAGCCCAAGTAAATAATCAAAAATGCTCTTTTTATATCAAGAACAGTAATGTTTTCAGGATTAAAAAAAAAACACGATTCTAAATTTTATTATTTTTCTAAATACGTATTGTCTCTGATATGTAATTACAAAATGTAAATATCAAAATATGATGTAAAAATTCTTGTGTAAAAACAACAACAAAAAATTGGCTACCATAACCAAAAATTTAACCGTCATACGTCAAGAGCATCACGTGACTGCATAATGCCCAATAATAGGGTATGTACTTCTTAACTCACCGATTTGTCCCTTCACAGAACAATTCCGTCCAGAGAATGACAGATTTGATATTTACGTTAGTGGGCAATGAAAGATATCCCCTCGCAGACCAGATCGGCGGGATTAGAATGACATATTTACATAAATATGAAAATTAAATATGAAAATTAAGTGCCATCATCCGGTTCCATTTTTATAAAATCTTCTAACTTCACTTCCTTATTTACGGACAAATCTTCGGTATTTCTGGAAACAAAAAAAAAATATTTAAAACATAATATTGTATCCGTTAATAAAAATACACTTAAAAACATACTTAAAGTCATTGTGCATATCTCTATTCACAATTGGGGTGACATCATCAAATTCTGTTTTTATAAAATCTCCGGATTTTATTTCATTAGTTGCAGATATACATTCAGAACTTCTGGAATTAATAAATTACATTATTATCAATATATTAGTAAAAATACACTTAAAAACATACTTAGTGTCATTCAAAATGGTAAGTTCATCCATTTCAATTTTTAAGGAATCTAATATCACTTCATCAGTTGGAGATGTACAATCAGCATTTCTGGAAACAATAAAAAAAAATTAAATGCTAAATATGTCTCTGGGCCAATAATGGGAGGTGGTTAAATAACCAAAGGGTAGATAAATAAAATCTGTATATCGGTTATGTACAGGGTGGTCCGAAATTTAAAAACAACTCCTCGATTAATCCTGTATAATATGCCAAATACTAAAGTTTATAAAGAGCTGAGTTTACGAATTAAAGTTGATATAATTATATACAGCTTGCTAAAAAAATTATGAAAATAGGGCTAAAAATAACAAAAATATAACACTTGACAAATTTGACCAAAAATTTCTCCGTTGCGTTTTTTTGCCATTTGAGTGTGTAAAGGTTAAAAAATTAATATTATTACTAATTTAAGAATGAATAATATGGGGTCATTAATAAAGGTATTAAATGCGTCATCAACATTAATTACAATATTGATTAATTTACCTGGAATCAATATGATAACGCTTGATGTGAATTTGTAATGTCTGATTTGACGTATATTTATTGTCACACCATACACAGGCAAACCTCCGTCGCAAGTCCGGTGCCAAGTGAATTTGCTGGTGTTTGTGAAGATTTGACCTACGTGGCGTTTGGTAGCCACATGTGACACATCTGTGAACCTTTTTCAGCGATTTCTTTAATTCCTTCGCCCTAATAAAATAATTTTTAAATATTACAGTCTTGTAACTCTATAAAACAGTAAAGAGTTACTCAACAACATAATAATTTCACATATCTACCGCCTAATTCACAGACGACAACCCCTTTTAAAAATTTTAAGTGCAGAAAAGTTAGGCATATTTGCTTTACTAGTAAAAAAACACTAACAAGCTGGTTTGCATCTGAATTCTATGCCCAGCAGTCTTTACAAAAAATAACTTCCAGGTTCCATTGGGCTTAAAATTCCAAATGGAGACTTTGTAACCCAAGTGGAACCATATGATTTTTATGGAATTCGAAATTTTGGCCAAAACACGTTTTTCGTGTTACAATAACATCGCAATAAGATTTCGACATAGGACCTTTTTCCATAAAACCACCGAAACCTGAAAAAATTGAAAAGTAACCTTATCTATGGTTACTTTTTTGGAGAATAAAAGTAACATAACCAAACATTAGCGAAAAAACCTTTGTTTTTATTTTTTAGAATATAAAACAATTATTTTTATATGTATATTAGAGGCCCAGTATATAGCTGCTGAATAAAAATCGATAATTATTTTCCTTCACGTCAGATATTTATCTCTTTTAAATAATTTCCTGTTATAAAAATTTTCGGCCCATATTTCAAATTTTAAACAAATCTAATCAATATTTAAAACTTAATATTGTATCCGTTAATAAAAATACACTTAAAAAGCATGCTTAAAGTCATTGTGCATGTCTCTATTCATAATAGGGGTGACATAGTTAGTCGTAGATATACATTCAGAGCTTCTGGAATTAATGTGAATTACATTATTATCATTATACTCAATACATGAGTAAAAATACACTTAAAAACATACTTAGTGTCATTCAAAATGGAAGTAAGTTCATCCATTTCAATTTTTAAAGAATCTAATATCACTTCATCAGTTGGAGATGTACAGGGTGGACCATTTTGGTTGTTTCTATAGGGTATCTAGGAAACCGTGAGAAATATTCAAATTTTGATACTGCAGTCTCGGGTTCTTTTTTTGAAAAAATATAATGGCGCAAACGGATCGTGGCTATCTTCTTCGGTTTCGAAGCTACAGGGGGATTCTCAAATTTTGTACTTTTTGAAAATGTTCGATAGTTTGTTTATTTCATCAACCACGGAAAAATGAATTATACATTCTAAAGGCACTTTTCTGTGTAGAATGCAGTGGCGTAGTCAGACTTTTTTCGAAAAAAAATATTTTTTGAGAACTATACTTATGTTTTTTTAAATAGAACCCCCTGTATATTTTTAAATTTCCTTATTCGGCTTGGCATGGGCTTCTCGAAAATATATAACACTCTATATTTATTTTCACTATTAACCTCAACATTTTAAATTTTTCTTAAAATATCCACTTAATGGATAGTAGGCCGCGCCGAGGAACAAAGTAAACGGTTGTCATGGTGATCGGAACATACCTTTGATGGATGCGGGATCTTTCATTTCAACAGATTGATGTATTTTAAATAATAAAAAAATGGGTAAATTTGAAAATTTTGAGAAATATAATATGATTGAATGTTATATTGAGTCTAACAAACATAAGCAAATGACAGCTGATTTATATTTTGAGCGGTATCCAGAGCGCGAGCTTGGTTGCTAGCGCTCTGTGTTTGGTTACCCAGCCATTTTAAAAGGTTAGGAGACAGTTTAACCAATTTTGGATCTTTTCAAAAACCGCGTCCCAAAATATTGTCAAGGTCAAGGTGTATTACTGGTTGCATAACTGCATTACTGCTACATAACCGCAACGTGCATTGAGGAACCCGGCGAATTCGCCAGAAAGTAAAAGAAAATTACAGAATTCTTTAGAACGTTCCAGAAAGACCCGCCAGGGGGTATATAAGGCCCGCGCTTTGGCAGTTGACAGTCTGAAGTTTGATAATACCGCGCTTTAAATTGTGAAATACCGTTAGAGTAATAGTAGTTGCATAAATTGTGTTGTAAATAGTATAAGTTGTGTGTACAGAGTGAGACAAATAAATTCGTTAAGTATTTTATCGTGAGTTTAAATAGTGGACCCACGGAATCCGTAACAATATTATCAGAAAGAAGATGAAGAAAATCAATATTCATTTTTCATCATACTAATTTTTTTATTATTTAAAATACACACACTTCAATCTGTTGAAATGAAATGTTCCGCATCCATCAAAGGTATGTTCCGATCACCATGACAACCGTTTACTTTGTTCCTCGGCACGGCCTACTATCCACTAAGTGGATATTTTAAGAAAAATTTGAAATATTGAGGTTAATAGTGAAAATAAATATAGAGTGTTATATATTTTCGAGAAGCCCATGCCAAGCTGAATAAGGAAATTTAAAAATATACAGGGGGTTCTATTTAAAAAAACATAAGTATAGTTAATATCCCAAAAAATATTTTTTTCGAAAAAAGTCTGACTACGCCACTACTTCTACACAGAAAAGTGCCTTTAGAATGTATAGTTCATTTTTCCGTGGTTGATGAAATAAACAAACTATCGAACATTTTCAAAAAGTACAAAATTTGAGAATCCCCCTGTAGCTCCGAAACCGATGAAGATAGCCACGATCCGTTTGAGCCATTATATTTTTTTCAAAAAAAGAACCCGAGACTGCACTATCAAAATTTGAATATTTCTCACGGTTTCCTAGATACCCTATAGAAACAACCAAAATGGTCCATCCTGTACAACCAGCATTTCTGGAAACAATAAAAAATTTAATACTAAATATGTCTCTGGGCCAATAATGGGCGGTGGTTAAATAACCAAAAGGTAGATAAATAAAATCTGTGTATCGGTTATGTACAGGGTCGGGTGGTCCGAAATTTAAAAACAACCCCTCGATTAACCCTGTATAATATGCCAAATACTAAAGTTTATAAAAAGCTGAGTTTACGAATTAAAGTTGATATAATTATATATAGCTTGCTAAAAAAATTATGAAAATAGGGCTAAAAATAACAAAAACTCTTGATAAATTTGACCAAAAATTTCTCCGTTGCGTTTTTTTGCATTTGAGTGTGTAAAGGTTAAAGAATTAATTTTATTACTAATTTAAAAATGAATAATATGGGGTCATTAATAAAGGTATTAAATGCGTCATCAACATATCTTACAATATTGATTAATTTACCTGGAATCAATATGATTACGCTCGATGTGATTTTGTAATGTGTGATTTGACGCATATTTATTGTCACACCATACACAGGCAAACATCCGTCGCAAGTCCGGTGCCAAGTGAATTTGCTGGTGTTTGTGAAGATTTGACCTACGTGGCGTTTGGTAGCCACATGTGACACATCTGTAAACCTTTTTCTGGAATTTCGTGAATTCCTTCGCCCTAATAAAATAATTTTTAAATATTACAGTCTTGTAACTCTATAAAACAGTAAAGAGTTACTCAACAACATAATAATTTCACATATCTACCCCCTAATTCACAGACGACAACCCCTTTTAAAAATTTTAAGTACAGAAAAGTTAGGCATATTTGCTTTACTAGTAAAAAACACTAACAAGCTGGTTTGCATCTGAATTCTATGCCCCAGCAGTGTTTACAAAAAAATAACTTCCAGGTTCCATTTGGCTTAAAATGCCAAATGGAGCCTTTGTAACCCAAGTGGAACAATATGATTTTTATGGAAATCGAAATTTTGGCCAAAACACGTTTTTCGTGTTACAATAACATCGCAATAAGATTTCGACATAGGACCTTTTGCCATAAAACCACCGAAATCTAAAAATTCCAAAGTAACCTTAACTATAGTTACTTTTTTGGAGAATAAAAGTAAGATAACCAAACATTAGCCAAAAAAGCTTTGTTTTTATTTTTTAGAATATAAAACAATTATTTTTATATGTATATTAGAGGCCCAGTATATTGCTGCTGAATAAAAATCGATAATTTATTTTCCTTCACGTCAGATATTTATCTCTTTTAAATAATTTCCTGTTATAAAAATTTTCGGCCCATATTTCAAATTTTAGGTTTTTGCTACAACAGCGCCATCTTAAGTCCTCCCTTTTTTATGACCATTTTTTAATGCACGAAAATATTTCTCCTTTTCTCTACACGCCATAGTTTTTCTTAATTTTCACTAGTAATACCACTAGAGGTCAAATTATTTTCGGAATTTTTTTCGAGCCCATGAATATTTTGAAAATTATCCCGAGTCGAAGACGAGGGATAATTTTCTAAAAATATTCATGAGCGAGAAAAAATGTCGGATTTAATTTGACCTCGTGTGGTATTCGGTAAGAAAATTCCACACCAAATTGTGTTTGAAAATCAAATAATTAAAATGTGTTTTTCGCTTTTTGGTCGAATTGATTATTTAGTTACTATGACAACTAAGAGACACCTAAACTTAAAAACTATTTCAGTTTTGAAGCTGTCAAGCGGCACGGCTTAAAAAAATGTTTCGCTTCGGTCATGAAAGCAAAGAAAATATTCGCCAGGAGATTAAGCAGTTGACACCCGCGAATACTAGGAAATCGAAGTCAAGCGTATGGAAGCAGTTTACAAACTTTCATCTCAGCTTTGTAATTGAAATGTATCAAAATTATCATGTAAACAAATAAAAACCAGACTCTCAAAAATATATTCTGTCATTATAAACGTCAAAAAATTTCCACTAAAGTTTCGTGGCGCCTCGAAAAAATTTCCGGAAATTTTTTCAGTTGCCATGGTAACTAGTCAACATTAAAGCATGTTATTGGTTGAAAAGTAGAGGTGTGAAATTTTCTCTAAAACAGTATTGAAATTTGGAAAAGTTTAAACGGGATTAACCATTTTAGAACAAGCAAATTTTTTTATAAAGAATGCGTTTTTCTCAAAATATCAAAAATAAAAAAGTTTTTCCTCTTGTAAAGAAAATCCGGAGACATACTGTAGAGTAGATATTATAATTTGATTCGAAATATCATGTATATGGTAACAAATTATTCATAAAAAAATGTTTATTCCAAATATGCTAATAAACCATCTCATTCCTCTGAAAAAAATTTCACAGCACCCCCTCTGTCTCTCTCTCTCTCACTCAATCTACATTCTACGACCACCGTAAACTGCATGTAAAACAGTACTATATTTACCTGGAATCACTATGATTAGTCTTAAGGTGGTCTCTTAGGTGGCGTTTTGTCATATATTGTTTTTCGCAGTGCGCACAACCAAACAACTCTCGTTCTTCCGGTGCCAAGTGAACTGCCTCGTGTTGTTTAAGGTTTGACATATCTCGTGCTCGATAGTCACATATGGAACACCTCACCTTTTTCTGCGATTCCTTCATTCTAATAAAAGAATGGCTTAATATTACAGTGTGTATCGAAAAAGCTCCATATCATGATTTCTGTTAGAGATTTTTTTCTAATTTTTATAAAGGCGCAGGGAGAACACTCATATTAAAAATATTTCATAGATATACAAGGTCTAAGGTATTTTTAGTGTTCTTAAATGAATTGTTAAAAAGTAAATCCCTATTCCAAACATACCATGGGTTATAACCTATACTATGTAATTTTTGAAATATTAATATTGTTGTAAAAATGTGTTTAGGGTCATGTAAATCATTACTCGATTGCTGCCATACTAATACTAATTTATTCTACCTTTGTATAATATAAATTTATAATGTTCGATTGATTATTGCTATGGTTGTAAAATATTAAAACTAGGTTACTTTAATACTAATTATTGTTAAAAGCAGAGTTTACTGAATAAGCATTTGATTTGGTTGCACCACATTGTTGCGAAACCAGTCCCGCTTTAATACGACCTAGAAGAGCCTAGAAATTCGAGAACACAGCGGCTAAGAATTCTCCAGCACCGCCCAGAGCGTTCTAGTCTCCGTCGCATGCATATATATGACTATGATTTTTCCTATTAAGTGTCCATTTCACTAGTCCGAAAAAGTAGCAAATTAAGCGTTCGGCATTTAACGTTTTATGTAAAACTGGCTAGGTTTACACAAATGAAGAAGGAAATTAAAGATAAAGGATTATACTATATCCTTATTGTAGCACATTTTTAGACAATTTCTTTATTTTTAAGATTTTGATGGTCAAACATCAACAAAATATTCCTTATGTTTGGATTTGGATTAAATTTTCTCGAAAATAAAGACATAATTTAAAATTCCGTTACTATACGGAAATAGATTGAAGTATTGTGATTACAGCGATATATAATTTATATGGTTTTGTAACAAAATGCTCGCTATTTTATGGCAAATGCTGAAGCTCTGCAAACCTTAATCAAAGCACGTGTGTTTGGAATTTTGGGTGTGGCTTAACACGACAGGATCGGGCTAAGCCATAGGCAGATTTCTGAAACATAATATATATTTCCTTCGGCCACACATCCGCTTTACCCAACCCCTAAGAGCGACCCGAACAATACAGCGTAATAGACTTCTAAATCAATAGAACTTTAGAGTTAAAATACATTTAATCACATCAATCAATCAAGCAATCATTTATTGATTGATTGATTGATGTGATTAAATGTATTTCCCCTACACTCCAGATACACTCGAGAACCTCCTTCAGTAGGCTTACATTTTCTTGCAGAATTTGATTTTTTTCCTCCAGCTCCTTTATAATTCTTAATAAAAGCTGCTTTTCATTATCCCAGTAGGGTGATTTGGGTTCCAACCTTTCCATTTGGTAATTGTCATTAGCTTCATGCTGACAAGTAGCCGATTTTAGCAAACCCGACTGTATCATGCAGGCCGGATGAAAGTAGTCTGAACACTTGTAACACTGTACTAATGTTACAACTTTTTTTCCGCAATGTTTGCCGTGAGAATCTAACTTTTCTTTAGAGCGATCGTTATGTACGTCTTGACTCGACGCCATCTTATTTAACCTCCATACAAAACCTGTGTTCCACACAAAACTCATTTCATACATTGTATATATATGAAAATATTTTTGAAATGTGCACTACTATTGCTCATAATATTTTACCAAAAATAATGGAAGGAAAATATCAAATAATAAAAATCTCTAATATGGAATTTGCACAAGCGTACAATAATTTCTGGTATTACTAATTTAAGAATGAATAATATGTGACCATTAATAATGAATTAATTAAATTCATCACACATTAATATTTCTTACATTGCTAATTAATTTACCTCGAATCAATATGATTAAGCTTAATGTGATCTTGTAACCTCCGATTTGACATATATTTCTTGTCACACTGCGCACAAGCAAATATCTGTCGTTCTTCCGGCGCCAAGTGAACTTTTTCGTGTCGCCTAATGCTTGACTTATATTGTGTTTTGTAGTCACATAGGGCACATCTATATACATTTTTCTGTGATTCATTTGCCCTAAAAAATAATTTTTAAATATTATAGTCTTAATGTGTACGTAATTTGCAGAAACATACGCCTGCCGTTCCTCCTGTGACAAGTGAACCGCCTTGTGTCTGTCAAGATTTGACTTATGTATCGTTTGGTAGTTACACCTGGAACATATATGGACCTTTTTCTGCGATTTCTTCTTCCTAAAAAAATAATTTTAAGTATAGTTTTTTAACTCCGTAGAACAAGGTTCCTCAAACACATAACCTCATTTATCTACCCCTGTTATAATTCACAGATGACTGTTAAACTAACGAGATTTTTGTTAAACTGTAGCCGCATTACCCACTACCCCAATTCTACGACCACCGTAAACTGCATGTAAAACAGAACTATATTTACCTGGAACCACTATGTTTAGTCTTAAGGTGGACTTTTAGGCGGCGTTTTGTCATATATTGTTTTTCGCAGTGCGCACAACCAAACAACTCTCGTTCTTCCGGTGCCAAGTGAACTGCCTCGTGTTGTCTAAGGTTTGACATATCTCGTGCTCGATAGTGACATATGGAACACCTCACCTTTCTCTGCGATTCCTTCATTCTAATAAAAGAATGGCTTAATATTACAGTGTGTATCGAAAAAGCTCCATATCATGATTTCTGTTAGAGATTTTTTTCTAATTTTTATAAAGGCGCAGGGAGAACACTCATATTAAAAATATTTCATAGATATACAAGGTCTAAGGTATTTTTAGTGTTCTTAAATGAATTGTTAAAAAGTAAATCCCTATTCCAAACATACCATGGGTTATAACCTATACTATGTAATTTTTGAAATATTAATATTGTTGCGAAACCAGTCCCGCTTTAATATGACCTAGAAGAGCCTAGAAATTCGAGAACACAGCGGCTAAGAATTCTCCAGCACCGCCCAGAGCGTTCTAGTCTCCGTCGCACAGACGATAATAAACTACAGTGTGCTACGGTCGAGGCTTCTTGTTTTTGCTCTGTAGATAAATAAGTTTGTAAATATAGTTATAAATAGTTCTTTAAGTCTTTTATCGTTATCGTTTTTGTTAATTAGTGTTAAACAAATTGTGACTTTCTATCCACACGGAACCGACGAAAAACGTAACAATATTATTAGGATATATAGTGATTTTTTTATTAAACAAGATGTAGAAATGCGTAAACGTCTCTAAAATTGACACATTACTTCCTAAAATTAAATAGAAATTCTAGAACTAAATAAAACCACTTGGGACAGATTATGACTATGCTATGATTTTTCCTATTAAGTGTCCATTTTACTAGTCCAAAAAAGTAGCAAATTAAGCGTTCGGCATTTAACGTTTTATGTAAAACTGGCTAGGTTTGCACAAATGAAGAAGGAAATTAAAGATAAAGGATTATACTATATCCTTATTGTAGCACATTTTTAGACAATTTCTTTATTTTTAAGATTTTGATGGTCAAACATCAACAAAATATTCGTTATGTTAGGATTTGGACTAAATTTTCTCGAAAATAAAGACATAATTTAAAATTCCGTTTCAATACGGAAATAGATTGAAGTTTTGTGATTACAGTGATATATAATTTATATGGTTTTGTAACAAATTGCTCGCTATTTTATGGCAAATGCTGAAGCTCTGCAAACCTTAATCCGAGGGGTGAACACTTAGGGGATTTATGGTGTACACATGAGAGGATTTCCAGGGGATGTACCGGGGATGTAGTGGATGTACCGAGGATGTAGTGGATGTACCGAGGATGTACTAGAGGATGTAGGGGATGTACCGAGGATGTAGGGGATGTATCGAGGATGTACTAGAGGATGTAGGGGATGTACCGAGGATTTACCGGTGATGTATTTCGAATTATTTGGGGCGTAATTTGCCGAATGCGATGTTTCAAGTCATCCAAATTTGTGGGTTGTCTTTTGAATACATTTTCCATAAGGTATCCTCTTCGGTATCTTCTTAAAAAAGGTTTTTTTCTAATATTTTTTTTTACTTTTTAATTTTTAAATGCGAATAACTCCAAAAAGCTTGGATTTGGGTATAGCACTTACATGGAAAATATTCAGAATTTTAAGAGCAATTCAAAAATGCAGAAAAATAATAATTATGTTGCCACGAGGGTTGCCATTAAAAGAAATTGTTTTGGACATAGCATTTTTGAGAAACCCTGTATAATATTCATTTTTTGCATAATCTGCCCCGGAAAAATTAAAATAATTGATGTGGCCGAGCGATTTCCAAAAAATGTGGTTCTCGAGATGTTGATATTTATTCAATATTTTACAACCACCCTGTACGAAATCAAATAAGATCGAATATCGATATTGTGAATATAGATAGATATAGATATTTCCGATATGAAGTATTCATAAAGAGATATAGCGGTATCTGTTATATCGATAGCTATATCGATATTTATGGACCAATATATCGTTACTTGGTTTTCACGTATGTGAATTAGCTTGTGCACATCCGTTTTTCTCAATGAATTTATTAAATAAAGTTTGCACAAGCCGATTTTCACAAGCCGATTTGCACAAATTTCATGGGAGTGAAAATGGACCTTTATTTAATATATCGATAAAAATATCGATACTCAAGGCTTTGTGGCTCACCCCTACTCATAACCTCAAAATATCTCGCAAAATGTATGTATAAGTCAGATATATAGCCTTTAATCCATATCTCTGGTATAAGTTTATGCAAAAATGTGTTTGTGTGTGTTCATATCTTATTGCATAGTGCCGTAAGCGTTATGAATTAAAGGGAAGTGTGTGTAAATAATTATTATTGTACCCTCTATACGTCAAAAACGAAGTTCATAAATGCGAATGCCTTTAACGTTGCCTATTTTTAGGTCTGTTTTATAAATTAGATCCTCGGTAGCTACTAGATCTCATTTTTATTTGGGGTTCAAAACACGAGATTGGTAACTTTGCACATAATATAGGGCTTTACGCATGACTAAGTTATTTTTTCCGCCGACATAAACTGCATAAACCGAGGCATAAACTGCTGTTATACAGGGTAAGTCTTAAATAAGTGCAAATATTTTCAGGGGTGGCATATTTTGACCCCAGGAACACGTCTATGATGTTTTTTTTGCAAATAAAATATGTTGAAAATCGTGCATTTTCTTTTAAATTTCCCTGTATATGTTTCGAAAACTTTTTAGAACTGCCTGTTCACCGCTAATTTTCCCACGTTATAAATTCTTAATCTCTGATATTACCATAGTTACAGCTTTACTCTATGGTTACGGCACTAAAAGGGATGCAAATACAGAAAAAAATCAGGTGGCTATCAAAATTAAAAAAAATCAATTTTTTTTTAAATTTTCAAACTTAAATAACTCGGTTATTTTGGACTTATTTGAAAAATGGTAAAGAAAAAATATGTTTCTTTTATCGAGATCTACCAGCCCTGAAAATATTTGCACCTATTTAAGACTCACCCTGTATAATAAAAGTAACGGCGAATTGTTGTAGGCACAATAATAGCCGAGATTGTACAGCTCTGGCAAGATTTGATATGTGTTGGCGCGCCTTAGTTCGATTCTCGATGACCCCATATAATTTTTTTAAATGGTTTTGATTTTTTTTTGTCCTTTTAAATTCAACAAAAATATTAGGTGTCAACTATATTACTAGCCAATAAATTGTAGAGGTTTGAGAAATTTTGTGTAGTTATACATATAATAAAGCTCGTAATAAAGTGGGAGATCGTTCTAACATAAATAACAATTCCGGTTTCGTCGTAAGTAAAGTAACCTTAATTTTGTTATTTTAAAAAAAAACACCCTGTAAATTTTTATATCCCTCTAGTAAATGTAAGTCGAAATGGTGCTTCATCTTTTTTTTATATATTTAATAGTTTCGGAGATAGTATCGTTCAAAATTTTAACTTTCTTTTTACCATTCAAATAAAATTTAAAAAAAATATATACAGTGTGTCCAAGATAAGTATATCTCGGAAAGTATTTTAGATACGTAAAACGGTTCATCACGAAAATTATTCTAAATGTATTGCGTACACATGAGAGGATTTCCAGGGGATGTACCGTGGATGTACTAGAGGATGTAGGGGATGTACCGGGGATGTACCGAGGATGTAGTGGATGTACCGAGGATGTAGGGGATGTACTAGGGGATGTACCGAGGATGTAGGGGATGTACCGAGGATGTAGGGGATGTACCGAGGATGTACTGGAGGATGTAGGGGATGTACTAAGGATAGAGGATGTAGGTGTACACTTTTTGCCCTATGTGTTTACCCCTCGCCTTAATCAAGCCTTAATCAAAGCACGTGTGTTTGGAATTTTGGGTGTGGCTTAACACGACAGGATCTTCCCCTAGGAGATGCAAGACCTTGTCGTTGGTGGGGAAGCTCCTGGTCAGGTGCTGGGGGGAATCCCCTTTAGCACTTGGCTTGGTCTAAGAAGCATCTCACTCATCGTCTTGTCTCTGACTGTAGTGTCGTGGCCAGGGAATTGCACCAAGACATATAACGATACCGGGCGGGGCTACGGACAGCCTCAACCTTGGGGCACCGGGGGGCACCCCATTGTATTTTACCCCTTACTTCTACATGCGGGGCTCTGTAGAAGTGGACCGACTGTCCCTAGCGACTCATAGGAACACTATGAGATCTGATAATAATAGTAATAAAAACATTACCGGTGAAGCTGTGGGGAAACCCCCTAGCGACACTGGGAACAGTAACAATGAAAGTTCCAATGGGCCAAACCCAAAGAGAACTACAGGAGAGGTGGCTGACACTTGCGTGAGACCATCCTCCGCAAGTGGCATACAAGCTACCACCTCCTCCAAGGGTCGGGAGCCTACCTCCTACCTCTAAACCCAACAGGCGACACAAGCTACCGTTTCGTCTACCCCTCCTGGATCGTAGCTCCTCGACTGTGAGGGACACGGGTCTCCGTAGGAAGTCCTGGGACTGTATGATGAGTTATAACTCAAGAAAGGGGGACACAATAGATCTCTATGGTCGCAGAGATTAACCCCCCTCCCACTTATTCTAATTCTTCTAATTCTAATTCTAACACGACAGGATCGGGCTAAGCCATAGGCAGATTTCTGAAATATAATATATATTTCCTTTGACCACACATCCGCTTCACTCGACCCCTAAGAGCGACCCGAACAATACAGCGTAATAGACTTTTAAATCAATAGAACTTTAGAGTTAAAATACATTTAATCACATCAATCAATCAATCAATCATTTATTTATTTCCACAAAACAATGTACAATTGTATAGGAATAGTCAATAAATTATTAAAGCTAACAGAAATATACCGTATGATCGAGAAAAAACGGCGTCCAGTTGGCTAGGAAATGACGATCGATGACATCTCCCATATAAATTTACATTTAAAATGACAGCGATCTTCGTTTCCCAGCCAACTAGACGCCATTTTTTTTCGATCATACGGTATAATACAAAATATACAAAAACAAACACAACAGATCATAATAAAATTATCATATACGTAGGCCTCATGTTATAATTTGCAGGTATTCCTCCACAGTATAAAAGTTCATTCCCAACCGAGGAGGC